TGAGCCAAAACCAGTTGGTTTTCCTGTAAGGTTTTTTAGCCGTACTAAAACAAACCATCAAATAACTTTTCAGCTAAAATTATGTTGCAAACATGATCAGAGGACATCAAGGATTATGAAAAAATGATAAAAATGGGTATGAAATTTTGGTGGCAGGTCCCCTTTAAAATAACTTAAATGTTATAAATTTTGACATTATTAGAGGCTATCCTGAAAAACATGGATCATCCACTTCATAACACTATGACGGACCAAAGGGCCAATGGTGGTGGACTCATGTCGATACAGGACTGAAGTGTCACTGTCTGCTCCAGCCTTCCCCATGGACTCAGTAATTTTCCACTGCCCTGCTCACACCACACCCACTCACTGATTACCACACCCACTCTCAGTCACTGATCACACACCTGCTCCCACTCACTAATCACACACCTGCCCTCACTCACCAATCAGCTCCCCTGCTTTCTGCTCAGTATATATTCTCCAGCCTCACACTCACTCGGTGCCAGATTGTTCTTTGCCATGTGAGACTGTCCAGCGCTCTTCTGTCTGTCTTCCCGGTGCCGACCTTGCCTGACTACGACCTGCGTGCTTTGTCTGCCTCCTGGTAAATTACCTCAGCCTTTTGTTCCTGACTATGAGCTCTGCCTGCCCCCCTTTGGATTGTCTGCCTGGTCTGCTTGCCTCTCAGTTTCTAAACTTTTGCCTGTCCTGACCAAGCCACCTTCCCAGCCACTGAACTGTCTGTGTGCCAGATTCCAGATAATAGAACTATTGACTGATTATCGAGACTGTACCTTGTTTGTACCGCGTTTGGGTTCATACAATACCCGTTACAGTACAATCTGGCCAGTCATTGTCCCAGCAGAACCAACGTTGCCACTGGATTGGCGATCAACTCTGCTGTTCCTCTGAGGAACAGCAGAGTTGGAGAGGCAGACTCACGCCTGTGCTTCATTCCAGGCCTTCTCGGAGGAGCTGTGCAATGTCTTCGGGCTGGGAGCTACGAGTCCAGATGGCACTTCTGATCTTCTCTCCATACAGCAGGGTTATCAGTCCGTGGCAGATTACTCCATCGACTTCTGAACCAAGGCCCATCAGAGTGACTGGAACACTGCTGCACTCTGGGATGCTTTTCTGCATGGTCTAGCAGAATATATCAAAAATGAACTGGTTTCCTATCCTCTACTGGACCTCCGTATCCGGGCCCGGAGAAGAGAGAGGAGACAGAACCCTGTACTTTCCACTGCAGCTCATTGCCTGAATTCTCCATCCGCCTCTGCCCTGCCCTCACCTGCAACACCTGTCCCTGCAGACCCAGAACCGATGCAACTGGGTTGCACCAAACTCACGCCAGAGGAACGACAGCGTCGCCGGATGGGGAACCTCTGTGAACTGTGGACAAGCTGGAGATTTTATCTCTCTCTGTGCATTAAAAGGCAGAGCTCCCCAGTGAATGAGGAAGTCCTGGTGAGCCATGTGGCAGTGAAATCTTCCTCTCAGATTAAACGGCCCCTGTTTCAAGTCAAGCTTCTCCTTCCTGATGACTCACACGCCCTGGCAACCTTCATTGACTCTGGTTCCGATGGCAATATAATGGATGAGGGCTTGGCTATGCAACTTGGGCTAGAGAGGATTCCCTCAACCCACCAATTCCTGCCAGGGCCTTGGATGGCCATCTTCTGGGAACTGTTACCCACCAGACTTCCCCTGATCACATGCTGATTTCTGGTAACCATCATGAAACCATCCAGTTTCATCTCCTGCCCTTATCCAACATTCCTCTGATCCTGGGTTTCCCATGGCTCTGCAAACACAACCCACACGTCAACTGGACCACAACCACCATCCTCAGCTGGAACAGCTTCTGCCACCAGGTCTGTCTTCGGGATGCATCGGTGCCTCGCCAGACTACGCTCCCCAGCACTTGCCCAGGCCTGGCCAGAGTCCCTGCTGAATACCACAACCTCCGGGAGGTGTTCAGTAAGGCCAAAGCAACCTCACTGCCCCCTCATCGCCCTTATGGCTGTTGTATTGATCTGAAGCCTGGCACTTCACCTCCTAAGGGGCGTCTATACTCTCTGTCTGGTCCAGAATAGGAGGCCATGGAGAACTATATTAATGACTCTCTGGCTCCCGGAATCATCCGCCCATCGTCTTCTCCTGCAGGGGCAGGATTCTTTTTTGTGGAAAAGAAGGACAAGTCCCTGCGCCCTTGCATCAATTACCAGGGACTCAACAACATCACTGTTAAGAACTGGTACCCTCTCCCACTTATCTCCTCCACCTATGAGTTACTTCAAGGGGGCAAGATCTTCACCAAGCTCAACCTTCGTAATGCCTACCACCTTTTTCGCATAAGGGAGGGGGACGAGTGGAAGACAGCTTTCAACATCATCACTGGACATTATCAATATTTGGTGATGCCATTTGGCCTCACCAATGCCCCAGCCGTCTTCAAGCCTTGGTGAATGATGTCCTTCAAGACATGGTCAACAAGTATATGTTTGTCTACTTATACGACATTCTTATCATCTCCACTTGCCTTGAGGATCACATCCACCATGTGAGGACTGTGCTGCAGTGCCTCCTGGAGAATTTACTGTTTGTTAAGGCTGAGAAATGCAAGTTCCACACTCAGTCAGTGGCCTTCCTTGGTTACATGGTGGCCCAGGGTCATTTGGAGATGGATCCTGCTAAGGTGGAGGCAGTGAAGTCCTGGCCATTTCCTGAGACCCGTAAGCAACTGCAGCGTTTCCTGGGTTTCGCAAACTTTTATCAACCCTTCATCTGGAACTATAGCTCCATTGCTGCTCCCCTCACCATGATGATCCCCTCCAAGAGCCCCTTTCGCTGGTCACCTGCTGCAGACTCTGCCTTCCAGACTCTGAAGAACCATTTTAGTTCGGCACCCATCCTCCAGGTCCCGGACATTGAACGGCAGTTTGTTGTGGAAGTAATAATAATAATTCATTTTATTTGTACAGTGCTTTTAAAAACACTGAAAGACGCTTTACATAGTACGTAAAATTCAAGATAATAAGACAAAGACATGAAAACAGTAAGATGGATGAAACAGTTAAATATTAAAAGCAATTTTAAATAAGTGGGTTTTTAAAAGGGATTTAAAAGTAGTGGGGTCAGGGCAGTGTCTGATGGAGGGAGGTAGGGAGTTCCAAAGGGTAGGGGCAGCTGAGGAGAATGCCCGATCCCCCCAAGTTCGGTGCTTGGGCCGTGACAGTGGGGTGAGAAGATGGGCAGAGGAGGAACGGAGGTTACGGGGGGTACATGAGGCTGGAGTAGGTCGGTGAGATAAGAGGGGCTTGATGATGAAGGGCTTTGTGGGTGAGAAGGAGGATCTTGAACATGATGCGTTGCTTGATGGGGAGCCAGTGTAGACGGAGGAGGATGGGGGTGATGTGGTCTCGTGAACGGGTGTGGGTAAGGAGGCGGGCGGCAGAATTCTGGACTATCTGTAATTTGTTGAGGAGTTTAGAGGGTAGACCGTACAGGAGGCTGTTGCAGTAATCTAACCTTGAGGTGATGAAGGCGTGGACCAGGGTTTCTGCTGCGGGGAGGGAGAGAGATGGGCGAATACGGGCAATGTTTTTGAGGTGAAAAAAGGCTGATTTAGTGACCTGTTTGATGTGTTGTTCGAAAGTGAGGTGGGTATCAAAGATGAGTCCAAGGTTGCGGATGGAGGAGGAAGGAGACAGGGGTGAGTTATCAACTGTGATGGAGAAGGGGGGGATGGATTTGGTGATGGATTTGGGGCCAATGATTATCATGTCGGATTTGTCACAGTTCAGTAGAAGGTAGTTGTTAGTCATCCAGGTCTTTATTTCGGAGAGGCAGGTTGAGAGGGTGGAGAGGGTGGATGGGGTGATGGATTCAGTGGAAATGTAAAGTTGGACATCGTCAGCATAACAGTGAAATTGGAGGCCGTGACGACGGATGATATGTCCAAGAGGGAGGATGTAAATAATGAACAGGAGGGGGCCAAGCACCGAACCTTGGGGGACACCTTGGGTCAGGGGAGCAGTGGTGGAGGAGTTGCTGTTTATGTTAAAGAATTGTTGGCGGTTTGTGAGGTATGACTTAAACCAGGAGAGGGCAGTGCCAGTTATGTAGATTGAGTCATGAAGACGGGAAAGGAGGATGGAGTGGTGGATGGTGTCAAAAGCAGCGGTGAGGTCCAGGAGAATCAGGATGCTAATGTGGCCGGAGTCAGCGCTGAGGAGGAGGTCATTGCAAATCTTGAGGAGGGCTGTTTCTTTACAATGTTTGGGACGGAAACCGGATTGGAAGACTTCAAAGAGGCTGTTGGAGTTGAGGTGGGTCTGAAGCTGAGAGGCAACGGCACGTTCTAATATTTTAGAAAGCAGAGGAAGGTTGGAAATTGGGCGGAAGTTAGAAATTATGTCAGGGTCGAGTCCGGGTTTTTTGAGGGTTGGGGTGATAGCAGCCAGTTTGAGGGAGTCGGGGACTGATCCGGTGTGGAGGGAGGAGTTGACTATGGAGAGGATTAGTGGAGAAAGGACTGGAAGGCAGGTCTTAACGAGTGCGGAGGGCATGGGGTCCAGGGTGCAGGTGGGAGTCTTCATGCTAGTTATTAACTGGGAGAGTTGGGCATGAGAGATGGGGGAAAACTGGGATAGGGGCTGAGCAGAGGTGTGGGGGGAGCACAAGGGGGGGGACTTGGGGTGGGGTGTGGGGGCGGAAGTTGCGGACTGGAGGCTGTTGTAGATGTTGTCAATTTTGGACTGGAAGAACTGGAGGAAAGTCTGGCATTTGTCTGGTGTGAAGGTTGAAGTGCTGTTGTCATGTGGTGCCAGAAGTGAGTTGATGGTGGAGAACAGGGTCCTGGGGTTGCTGGAGCCAGAGTGAATGATGTTGGAGTAGTATGCTGAGCGGGCGGAGTTGAGGGTGGCTTTGTACTGATGGAGGTGATCTCTATAGAGCTGGAGGTGAATTGTGAGTCCGGTTTTCCTGTAGAGTCTTTAAAGTTGGCGTTTTTTTTGTTTCAGCTGGTGGAGTGCTGGGGTGTACCAAGGAGCAGAGCAGGCGAATGTGACGGATTTGCTTTTTACAGGGGCAAGTAGGTTCAGACAGGAGGAGAGGGTCTGGTTGTAGTAGGTGACAAGATCAGAGGGGTTATCGGACGCTTGTGAGGGTGATGTGGTGAGGTTGAGAGAGAGAGCGGCGGTGAGGGCAGATGGGCTGATTGATTTGAGGTTCCGGAAGTTGATGGTTCGTTTGAGTCTGGTGGGTGGGTCGGGGAGGGTTATAACTGTTTTGATAAGTAAGTGATCAGCGATATGGAGATCGTGGCAGGGGGGGGGGGGGGGGCCGGTTGAACAGATAAGGTCCAGGATGTAGCCATGGTTATGGGTGGGGAAATGGCAGTGTTGGGTGAAGCTGAAGCATTCACGGGCTAGACTGCAACTGGGGTTGTCAATGTGGATGTTGAAGTCACAGAGGAGGAGAACGGATGGGGAGAGGGCACAGAGCTGTGTGAGGAGGTCAGAAAGGTCAGTCAGAAAATCTGGGCTTGGTTTAGGTGGGCGGTAGATAATAGCAATTATGAGAGGGGGGGAACCAGGGAGTTTGAGAGCAACATGTTCAAAGGAGGAGACGGTTGGCATGGAAAGTGAAATGATTTTGAGATCCTTATTGTGAATTGTTGCGATGCCGCCGCCTCTGCCTTCTAGGCGGGGTTTATCAATATAGGTGTAGCCTGTGGGGGTGGCCTGATTGAGGGAAAAGTAGTCCAGGGGTTTGTGCCATGTTTCTGTTAAAAAGAGAAAGTCCAGTTTATTGTCCATGATGAAGTCTTGCAGGATGAGGCCTTTACTGGTGAGTGATCGGGTATTAAACAGGGCCAGGTTCAGGTGATGTGGGTGGGGCAGTTTCACTGATGATTCCTGTGAGGACCGGGGTAGTGTGCGAAGGTTGGCATGATGGCTACTCCTTAGAGCAGGGTGGTGGAGGGGCCTGTGGCTGATGATGGTGGGGATTTTAAAACTTGTTATTTCCCGTTGCAGTGGCTTGAGTGGTGGGTAGGGGGAGCCAGAGGGACGAGTTGGTCGGTGTGCAGGGAGCAGTTCCAGGGGGGTACGCTGGGGGTCGCTGTGATTGGTAACGGTGTCAGAGGAGGAGCATGAGGAAGAGGTGGATGTAAACACTAGTCAGTCGATCTGCGCGCTTGTGTGGACACTGTACTGGATGTTGGGAACTAAGATGGATCTGCCAGACCTTTTCAGGTGGATGCCATCACTGTTAAAATAATCAGGCCGGTTCCAGAAACTGTTAAAATTGTCAATAAAATGAACATTTTGGGCGTTGCAGGGCATGTTGGTCCAGCTGTTTAGGCTAAGGAGTCTGCTAAAACGCTTGCAGTTCTACGTCATCGTCGGGAGCGGCCCACTAATAAAAACCGACTTGCCACAGTCTTTTAGGGAGTTAAGAAGCCTTTTAAAATCACATTTTGTCTGTTCAGACTGCCGACGCGCTGTGTCGTTACAGCCGATGTGCACAATAATGCGGCGAATGGAGGAGGGAAGAGAGCGGAGGAGAGAGGGGATCTTATTAGCGATATCGGCAGCTTTGGCACCGGGGAAGGATAGTGTGGTGACATTGAAGAAACGAATACCTCTGGTGATGGAGTCTCCGATGATGACTGTCGTGGGGGCGAAGAGAGGGGCAATCGGCGGTGCAGTGCCGCTTCCAGGAGATGTGGAGGTGGCACAACGTAGACGCGCCTCCAGCTCGCGCTGCGGGATGCTGTCATTTTGGGACGCAGCTCTGGGGACGGATCCGACGGAGCGGCGACGGACCGCTTCCCGCAACAATTTGCGTCGGGACGCTGCGCATGATGTCCGGGTTATGTTTTGCTGGACCTCGGGCTCACTGGTAAGGCTCCGTGTGCTGCCAGGCGCCACCGTGGGGATCTCTCCCTTGCTGGGCTGCGCCCGGGGGCCACCGTACGACAGCACGGAGGTTTTCTTCACACGGGCGTCCAGCGGCATCCGGGAGTTGGCCAGCCCTGGTCCCGAGGCTGGGCGGTCAACTGCATTTGATGAGGCCAAGGCTTCGGCCGCCGGGCTGCCCATGGTTCCGGGAGATCCTCCGGTAGCCTGGGAAGGAGCTGCGGTGGTCCCGACGGCTGGCAGGTTGGAGGAGGAGGTCGCCTTGCTGCCGGTCGGCGTCTGGACTGGGCTGTCAGCTGCGTTGATGGCGGCCTGGACTGTGTTTGCGGGCCGGGGTATGGACAGCTGGAGAAGGGTCGTGGAGCTGCTGGGAAAGGGCGGTCGGGGCGGGGAAACACCACAGGCATTTTTCTTATCGTTATTGCCACAGATTACTACCTCGGACCACGTTGGACGTGCAGGAGTAGAGGTGGATGAAGGCCGGGGGCTGTCGGGGTCCCAGGGTAATGTATCGTTGAGGGAAGCCTGGAGAGAGGCAAGGTGGTGGGTCTGCTTGAAGGCGACACCCATACAGGCGGTGAGTAGATCTGATTTGGCTTTCAGTTCAGCAGACAATCTGCAAATGTCCTCTTTGAGACGAGTGATTGTGGCGTTTGCCTTGTCCAGTTCAGATATATGGAGTGGGGACATGGAGGTGGAAGAAGCCATGATGGCGGTAGAGTTTAAACAACTCCAAACAATTTCAGATAACTCCAAACATAAGCTCCTCAGCGAGAACTGTTGAATAGGAAGAGTGTAACTCCAGGAGATGCTTCTGATGTTGGAGTGGGTGCTGTTCTGTCCCAGCGAGCAGCAGGTGACCAGAAACTCCATCCATGTGCCTTTTTCTCTCGGTGTCTCTCACCTGCCGAGAGAAATTATGACATTGGCAATCGGAAGTTTCTGGCTGTCAAGCTAGCCATGGAGGAGTGGTGACACTGGCTTGAAGGGACAAAACAGCCCTTCATGGTTTGGACGGATCACAAAAACCTGGAGTACATCAGAACGGCTAAGAGACTCGATTCCCGACAGGCACGATGGGCCCTCTTCTTCACGATGTTTGATTTCTCCCTCTCCTACAGACCCGGCTCCCACAACGTCAAACCAGACGCATTGTCACGCCAGTTTCAGAAGGAGGGAGACGAATCCATCACAACAGATACCATCCTGCCATCTCCTTGTGTTGTGGCATCTATGACTTCGGAGATTGAGGACAGGGTGAGAACCTCTACAGAGGGGAAGGCTGGTCCCAGTGCTTGCCCCCCAGATTGCCTGTATGTGCCTGCAGCCCTGAAGTCTGATGTACTCCAGTGGGCTCATGCTTCCAAATTTTCATGTCATCCTGGGATCCAGAGAAGCCGTGATGCCCTCCAGCAACGTTTCTGGTGGTCCAGGTTAGAGGAGGACACCCGGGAATATGTCAATGCCTGCCCTTCCTGCAACCAGAACAAGTCAGGCCCCGTCAGGTCTTCTACAGCTACTTCCTGTGCCACATCGTTCCTGGTCACACATCTCTATAGACTTTGCCACTGGTCTGCTGCCATCTGAGGGGAAGACAGTCATACTTACTATTGTGGAGCGCTTCTCTAAAATGGCCCACTTTGTTCCCTTACCCAAGCTTCCATCAGCTAAAGAGACTGCCCAACTTCTTCTCAACCATGTCTTTCGTCTCCATGGGATCCCTGTGGATGTGGTGTCAGACAGGGGGCCCCAGTTCTCCTCCGTGTTCTGGCGGGAGCTCTACAGATTGCTGTGAGCCATGCCTAGTCTGTCGTCAGGGTTCCATCCTCAATCCAACGGCCAGACTGAGAGAATGAATCAAAAAATGGAGACAGCCCTTCGGTGTACCGTGTCCCAGAACCAGGAGCTGTTGTGGGTAGAATATGCTTACAAAACCCTGCCAAGCTCAGCCACAGGCCTGTCTCCTTTCCAGTGCGCCTATGGGTATCAGCCACCTCTCTTCCCAGCCCTGGAAAAGGAAGCCTCCTGCCCTTCAATTCAAGCCTTCCTCCATCACTGTTGACCTGGGCCTGAGCTAGAGCCTCCCTCCTGAAAGCTTCTGACCGTTACTCCTCTGCTGCCAACCGTAGAGGCCTACAGTACCTTATTGACTGGGAGGGCTATGGCCCAGAGGACAGTTCTTGGGTTACTGCTCGACATGTTTTGGACCGACAGCTCCTCCGTGACTTTCATCAGCAGCATCCTGACCACCCCTCTCACAGCATGGTAGGGGACTCTTTTCAATGTGGGGCGCCTGCTGTCCGTCTGCTGGACTTGTTTTTGGGGGGGGGGGTTCTGTCACAGTCTGCTCCAGCCTTTCCCCATGGACCACTGCCCTGCTCACACCACACCCACTCACTGATTACCACACCCACTCTCAGTCACTAATCACACACCTGCCCTCACTCACCAATCAACTCCCCTGCTTTCTGCTCAGTATATATTCTCCAGCCTTACACTCACTCGGTGCCAGATTGTTCTTTGCCATGCGAGACTGTCCAGAGCTCTTCTGTCTGTCTTCCCGGTGCCGACCCTGCCTGTCTACAACCTGCCTGCTTCGTCTGCCTCCTGGTAAATTACCTCAGGTATTGGTTGCTGACTATGAGCTCTGCTTGCCCCCCTTTGGATTGTCTGCCTGGTCTGCTTGCCTCTCAGTTTCTGAACTTTTTCCTGACCAAGCCACTTGCCCAGCCACTGAACTGTCTGTGTGCCAGATTCCAGTTAATAAAACTATTGACTGATCATCGATTCTGTGCCTTGTTTGTACTGCGTTTGGATTCATACAATACCCGTTACATAAAGGTTCAGAAGGTCTTTAATACCTACAGCCATCAGATGCTAAAACTTGACCGTAAATAGTAAATGACATAAAACTTGAGACATGAGAACTGAGACAATAGAATTTCCCCTTGAGGATAGATGAAGTTCTTTTTACCTTGTTACATTATGCACAAAGATGTTATTACCATAGACTGTATATAAGATGGATGCCGTCTGTCTCCTCACCGGGTGAAGCCACTCCGAGAACAGCACCCCCTAGAGCCTGGCTGCAGTACAAGTCATAAACCCCACTTCTGCCAGCAAAGTGAATGGAGCGGCGGACGGCCTTTAGAAATTAATTACACAGAAAATACACTTTTCTCACTCCCGACTGCGATGTTGACATGTAGTTATTATTAGACTGGTTTGTGTTCAGGTCTTTTTTTCTCTCTGCAGCTCCATTTTAAAAAGTTATTAGGAGTTATAAAAACAGGAAATTGCGTCATTCTCTACACTTTGCAGTTGCCGCTTGTGCGTCGCTCTTTTTCGTTCATCGTCAAGACCAATTGGGTTTGCTAGCGGAGAAGAGGATTAAATTTTTCCATCGTTTTTCTCTTTTGTTGCATTGGAAAAATCAGTTGTTCTGCAGTGAACTGTGTTAATCGACATGTGACATGACCGCTGACACATTTCACATTATATTAGGAGGTGGAACTTACTTATTCTTGGTCGCAACGAGGGGGGAAGCTATTAGCGTTATGAATGAAAGGCTGGAAGGACATCGGGGGGGGGACACTTTTTGAGCGGAGCGTCATCGCTCTGAGTCTCCCGCCCAGCGTTGCGTATACAACGCTACTGCACAGCTCTGGTTTCAAGGAAGTGGAGAAAAACCCGGAATTACCGAGAGCTTTTTGGCTTCAAATCTGTATACAGGCGGAAGGCGGAACCAGGCTGTCCATCTTATATACAGTCTATGGTTATTACATTATGTGCTCATGATTTCTTTACATTATGTGCCGATTGTTACATGATCAACTTTTATTACATTTAATTATTACATTATGAGCAGTTATTAGACTACATTTCATTGCATTCTGAGTAGCACAACACCGTTTGAGAATGAAAGTCTTGCAGGGACTCTTTTTTTTTTTTTTCAACACAACCTAAAAGTGTGATTTCCCTTCAGGCTAGGCTGGTTTTATCTCTAAAAGCAGAATCACCATTGAAAAACATTAAGGATGGTTAATTAGGAACTTTCAAAATACCTTCAACACACTTGATTACCTTAGACCAGAGGATCAATATCAGAGGACCCTGGACCAGCATGGAGATATGCATCAACAGTGTCTTGGTTACATCTGGCAAAGTTTTGACAGTCTATAAGCTTCACCAAAGTGTCTGTTATGTTGCATACTATTTATGGATAAATGTAAACTGAATGAGTTGGTGTGCTAGATTTTTTTAATAGTGAAGATTTAAAAACTGTCAGAGTTTTTGCAGTTTTAAAGTTTAAGGAAGTGTAATAGGCGGACACCATTCCAGGTGAAATTTTCCAAAGATTTCACATAGTGGAATGAGAGGATTCCCATAAGACTTTGGGGGGTCAGATTGGTTATCTCAGTTGCACTTATAAGAACCAAGTGTTCATAGACTGAGTCTATGAATTCCAGAGGCCCACCTTTCACCATAATATGGATCAGACTTTTGTAGTAGATTTGTGGTACGTACATACAAAATTAGGGAGCAACTCCGCTTTTCTAAACATAAAACTAAATTTACAAAGGGATCCCTATTTATTTTAAACTCTGTTCCAATTTATAAATAAGAGAAGGCTAATTGTTTGCTGCTGTTGCTGAGACTATTAACCCTCTACTGTTTGAAGCTCCTGTGAGGAATTACGGTTTATGTGATTTTGGTGCGCCCTGTGGTCAAAGTGATACCTCCTATCACTTCCCTGATCATATCTTAAGCAGGAAGGTTGTGTTTTCAGACCAAAAACATGTTTTCCTGCTGTCTTTAACAACCACATGAATCAATAGTGGTAATAAGTGGCTAAACATATATTTTTAAAAAAGTCTTTCTTGAGCATAATTGTCTGACACCAGCAGTAAGGGCGTTAAGTGATATTTATGGTGAAACAGTGTGGTGAGACGCCTCCTCCTTTTGTTTTATTTTGGTTGGACTTCCTGTTTTTCTTCATTTTCCTGGTTTGACTTGACTCTTTTCCAGAGCTCTCTCCCCTCCCCGGTCGCTGAGGCTGAGTGAGACTCAACACCTGCTCTACATCTGCAATCAAGGCCATTTAAGAAGCCAGCAGCCCTCAGTCTCAGCGCCTGAGTATTGTCTTCACTCCCGAGTGGTACAGACGCATCTCCTGGCCTCCCGTTTGAATAAGTACTTGGAACTTTGCTCCTTGTGATTCATTGTATGTCTACTCACTTCCCTCTCCTCTGTTTTCCCGCAGTGTCTCCAGCCCACACAACAGCCAGCCAGCCTTCTGGACTTCCTCTTTTTCCTTTTACCTGAGCTCGGACATTAAAATTACATCTTAAGTTGATATCTGCCTCTGTGTCTGCTTCTGGGTCCTCAAAACACACCACACGCCACAGTCTACCTTGTTTGCTTTTTTTTCTAACAGATGCAACATGGTAAGATTATTTATAACAAGAGAAGTGGAGTAGGCGGGATGACAACAACAAAACAAGACTACTGAAAGGACCTGTGGGTACTGAAGAAAAGACCCACCCACCAAATAGTGAAAGGAACAACTGAAATCCTTAATGTCTACACTAACCACCCAAACCAAACACTGTTAAGTCTGACTACCGTACAATTCCCAAGCAGCTTATATAAACATGAAGCTGATCACAGTAAGTGATGTGGCAGTAAATGATGAAGGGGCCAAGGTGTATGTTAGAAATAGGTGGGTGCATTCTCCTCTGATTAGTGGGAGGTTCCTCAACAGCTGCACACCAATCAGGCTCTCAGGCAACATTACAGGTGGATTGTACCAGGGCTGGGGGATGAACGTCACCTCAACTGTCACACACACCCAGATACACCCACAGACCACTCCAAAAGGATTATCTACACAGGACTGGGGTCAAAGTCATTTAAAGCATTATTATTCATTTCAGTCAATTTTATTAGCAGCAATAAACCCCTTACAGGACCTTTGATTTATGTCTGCAATGAATGCATCAGTCAGTGGAAGGGCTTGAAAATGACACAGTCTAACTTAATATAAGAGGTTTAAAAATGTGTGAAAACCACCTCTCACACAAATTTTTAGAGCTTTTAATATTCTGAAAATAATTATGGCAAATAACACACCAGTTGAGCCAGCCAATCAAAGACAGTTATCATCAGACACTGGCTGCAGTATTTTGTAAGTACTTGGACCCATATTGTCAAAATAAACAGACACTTCTAGACGCAAATAGGGATGGCCAAGCAAGGAACAATATGCAGTTTAATTGAGAAAAAAAAGCCATTTACATTTTTTTTTGTTAAACCTCTAACCCCACCTAATGGCCTATATTGGTTAGTACAACACTTGTCTTCAGTGCAGCTTAGTAAAACAAAACAAAGAAAAAACATCTCCCTTACTAATCAGAAAATTGATACATATTTCATTGTTGCTTTATGTTACAGGAAATCATTCCAGTGAAATCAACAATTACTCATTTTGAGCTCCATCATTTTCTAGAAACAGACCCCTACTTACACCTTTTTTATTATTATCTTCACATTTTAGTCATTATGTGGCCTTCAGCAGCTTGCATATTTGTAACATGTCGACTCTACATTTAAAAATCTTATTTTGCATTAAATATTGTTTACCGGTGGCTTTGTCAACATAATTATATGACTTACTGTGCGCAAGACTGAATAAGATCATATTGAGATCATACAATCATTTACCTTTCATGAATTATTAGTAATCAGGAGAACATTAAAACCCCTTTTAAAAATTATAAATAGAAAATTAAAGCATGACTTTGTTCATATCTATAATTTGTGAAGTGTCGAATTATGGGGAAGATTATAGTATAAAGTGTCTCTCTGTAAGCTTTTTTCCTTACACCACTGATGGTAAGTATATGTGAACACTCTGTGATATGCACCCTTCAACCAAAATTTGCAATCATTTTATGACTAAAATGACCAAAAAACCTCTCAAATGATGTAAGAAGTGAACTGAACACTGGGGGTTATCACTAAATGATCTGTTTCTACACCATAAGCAACAGAGAACGAACAAACTGTTTGGTGACTAATAATTACATATACCTGCTAACTCATTACTCCTCCTAACAAAGAGTCTGACTGAAACTGCAGGAAACACTTGATCTTAAGCTGGTCACAGACATAACCAGCCTGACTGGTTTGTACGGGTCGGCGACGTCATGCCAGCATGGTGATTGTGAAATGTGTAACACATAAAGAGAGTGATTTAACAACATGGCCTGAAATTCGATCGCCTTCTCTTTATGTGGGACAATTGGTTTCCTCTGCACAGAAGTGCTCACATGCAGTGGTGCAAATGTGAATATCTGAATGGAAATCCTAGTGCTGACAAACTGAGCTTTATGAGCATTTCATCGACCTACTTATTTCAAATATAATCTGTAAAACCCTCTTGATTATTTCCATTTTTGAAGTTTGCAAGAGAAATGCAACAGATGACAGAAAAAAAAAACGTAGTTTTTAATGAAGCTAGGAATAAAAGTGTTTCCATTTGACACTCATGTCTTTTCTATACAGAAATCTACCAAAGAGAGACAGATTTGACCATATTTTCAGCCACAGAAAACTTGGTCCTAATTACCAGTTTCTACTCTGTTCAGAGGTCATTGAAAATCCACCCCTGGTACTTATAACAGCCTCCTCAGCAAGCAGGAAGTTTAACTGTCTTTTAACCAGAAAAACCTGCTTGTCACATGGCTCCGTTTGTTTAAGGCACAAATAAATTGTTAAGAGAAACAGAACAAAAGAAATGTCTAGATTTTTTTTAGGAAGAATTAACCGAGACACTGGCAGAAATTAAAGTTAGCAGAAACTAAGATCTCACAAACAGATCCTCTCATATCAGCTGGAATATAAACCCTAACCAGCTCCTCATGTACATGTTTCCAGGCAACCAAATTAAAGTGCAATTTAAGGCTCTTCACAAAATCTTCTTTTTTTTTTTTTTTTAAAGAGTTTGCTACAGAAATAAACTAAATGACCACAGACTATTACCCTGAAAATGTAAAAATGGTTAAAGTTTCTCGTTGGTAATAATGAAAGAGTTACTGCTGTCAAGCTACCTGGCTTATGAACCCTTTTTAGGCCTACATATTGCAATCATATTATACCACTCCATGAGGGAAAGCTTAATAATAAGTGGTTAGATTTTATAATTTGAAATCACATTTGCAATCTCATTCAGCTTAACAGTGTTATTGTTGTACCGATATGAATACAAAGTTAATCAAAGTCATACAGCAGCCATTCTTCCCACACACTTTGGGTTGTAAGTTATGTAAACCAATAACATAATAATAATCAGTGTTATTTCATCATTTGAATTAATTTGCAACTAAGTAAGATATTCAGATGGATATTTCACCAAATTTCTAGTTAAAACAACCAATTTCATGACAAATGAGTTGAGGTAAGTACCTACAATTATCAAGGTTCAGCTGGCTTTTTACTAAACTAACCATTAGCAAAGTGGCTAAATTGCTATGCCATGTCCATTTTCCTGAACAGTTTGCTGAGAGACTTTATTCAACACTTGGCCCCTCCCACTTTAGCTTCAACAGACCAATCACAGTCACAGATACTCATTGATTAGTGTTCAAGCAACACTACAAGAATTGTTATTGTGACTGGCTGGGAAATTTATATTAGCTATAATGACTTAATCTTATTGGGCCCAGTTTACCTGATAGCCCTTACCTAACCCTATCAGCAGACACACTAATGACAAACATATATTTACCTGTATTATCAGCATTGTTCATGTCATAAAAATATTTAGTTGTCCAGTTGTTATAGAGAGCTTACATCTATTTTATACCGTAAATACTGATTTCTACTTTCTTTATCAGTTTTATTTTCTAAAAAGAAGATGTACTATGTCTGAGGTCTCAATTGAAAGTACCAACAAAAATAAATTTGCTATAAAATAAATAAAACCACAAGAGGACCATATGCGTTTAACATATGTCCTTCCTCTGGCAAGGCAAATAGCCAATCAAAATCTAGGATTGGATCTGGGCTGTCTAATGGGGTGACCAATCAGATGTAATTATTTATCTATTTATGGGGGGGGGGTGTCAGTGATATCTTAAACACCTTTCATCAACAACTCCTATGAACAAAAACCATGCCTGAAAGAGAAACATTGTTTAAGAGTAGTTGAAGAGTCACTGAATTGGTTGGGGCATCCAGGTTTTAAGTTATGGTGCTACTTGCTGGCCAGTAGCACATATTGAGGGTTTATTCTTTCAGACCGGATCTTTATTCATCAATTATGTTAAAAATAGATATAAACGTGCTCTAGGAGGCTACTTATTGCGCCGCTGTGTTTCAGCAGTACTGTGCTAAGACGATGTGTTGCACTAGATGGTCTATTGAATCGCTCCAAGATTTCTACGAGATTTAATAAGTAGGCTGAACAGAACTTTCTGGGGCTTTCGGCTTGTTCCTGGCCCGCTGTCTTAAGTGCAGTACCACACATCACCTCAGTGGAACAGGTGCAGTAAAGTCGGTTGTTTTGACAGTGAACGCGCCACCCAGTGCGTTTTTTTTTTCTTCAGTTTGGGCGGAGTTTGAGGTCTATGTTGCTGGAAAAGTCCCTGATAGAGCGCAGAAGAGTCAGACAGAGACAGACAGACGGTTGGAGGGGAAACGTTACACACCTGTCGAACCACAGCGCCCTGGTTTAGACTCATTTTTCTTTAACTTAACTTGGTTTTCTTCTGAGACAGTCAGCGCCTGAGGCTTCAGGATGACGGACACTCTTTTACCAAACGGCCTCAAAGGCAGCGGAGGAGAGAGCACATACTTCAAAAAGGTCAGTGTGTTTTCTCCTCAGATCCCTGTGTGACAGGAACAGACGACGGTATCACTGTTCTCTGCCGGGGATAGAAAATAACCTTAGACACTTACTTATCTCACGATTATTGAGAAGCTTTCGTGTGGAGGTACTATTTTGGTAGTTTTTGATTTATATTTTGACCCTTTCTAAAGCATTTTAGTTAATGTGTTGTTTGGCGATAGGAGAATAAAAGCATAAAACATAGCTTTTAACCAACTGCGTGATAACCAACTTATTGGATAATACTCTTTTAAAAACTCTAATCTTATCAAGTGAATTTCTCTCATTTTAGTCCAAATCTAATCTTACACACTAAGTTTGAGCTACATATACCTGACTGCTTCAAATGCACATTTTTTTCAATGTTTTTTAGGACAAACTTTTCTAAATATATTCCCCAAGATAACTATAACATTATCTTACTTGAGCAGACTAACAAACGAGTGGTTTTACTTCAACTTCAGTAAAAAGTCATTGAAGGAGCTGCACTTATACTCTGACACTCTTTAGGCCTTTGTCTCTTTCTTTGTCGATCATAATGTACAACTAGACAGAAGTTTGAGGTCTCACAAGCTATAGGTGAGTTAAAAACTAGTGAGGGAAAACTATTATTGCTCAATTAAAGGGGACAAAATGTTTAAGTTGAATTTATGATGCCTCTTTGAATAATGTTGTAAATACTCTTAAAAATCTTCAGTCTCTTTATAATCAATCTATTTGACCCTGATGTGTCATCAACAGCAGCACAAAGCACAGCACTGTCGCCTCCATCTGTCACCATGTGTGTGTGTTTATGTGCATGCTTCACTCCAAAAATAGCTCTATCTCCTGAAGGTACTGATAGTAGGAAAGCCTGAATGAGCAGTGACCAAACATCCCATAATGAGCATAATCAGCTCCCTGCTGTTATCAGAGTTGTGCTGGTGACAGGGAGTGTTACCCTGGTAATTTTAGGTTAGATTAGTCCACTGCACTGGGATAACTTTGGCCGGGCTGATTAGCTTCTACTTTTGAACAAGTAAGAATAGTTAAAATTTAGCTGAGCTTGTTTTCTCTGTCCTCTTTTATTATATCATAACAGGGGACTAATATGTTTCAGAGAAAACAAAGGCTCTGACCTTTGAGCCCTCTTTTGTTGGACTTTATCTTCAAGTCACACACATTGGATACTCTGAATAACAGTATCAACTGAATGATTTAAATGTAAGTGCCAGACTAGCCAAATTGTTCCTCAGATAAGAAGGATCCCCTCTGCTAGTGTTTGTGATGAAGGAGAGGACTTTTAATTATGTGAATTAGCATTAGCATTTAGTCAGGCGGGACTAGGAGAAGAATATTTTTAAAAAGTTTTTGCTTCCCTCCACCTGGAAGTGGGTCTGTCATGATGCCAGTTTTCCACCTCACCTTAGTTCTGGCTTTACTAAAAACCATTACTATAACAACATTTGTGTGATATTTATGAAGAAAATTACAAAACAAACACAATAAAAAGTGTGGAGTGACACATTACATAATGAATAAATGAAATTGAGTCATTCATGCGTCATTATCTGTTTGAAATGGTGCTGAGAGTTTTGTTTATTCTACGTCACCAGCCTTGTGACAGAAACCTCTTCATAATGGGGGTTTGTCATGTTATGTTGATATTTTTAACTGTCTTGTACTTAGGTTGCTTGATTTCTTGTATTGGAAGAGCATGCTTTTATTTTGAAATGAAGTATATACTGCTTCTGGTAGATCATTGGTCGTGGAATCAAATGAAATCAGCTAAAAGTCAAGTTAGATTGTATAAATGTTTCATGTTTTTGCTCCCCCAAAACAAGCAGAGCCCGTTGACATGCTCAGTATCATCCTGCTAACTTTTGACAGTCAAATGTATAATTTATTGGAATATATAAAGTGGAAAGTATATATCGTTTAAAGAGGTTTGCGTTTCATTTATTGAAAGCACTTAAACATTTGTTAATGAAAAAAAAGTAAAATAGGTTGCTGCCCCCTTTACAAACTAGTCTGTTGTATCTGTCTGAGAAAAACAGTGACTGAGTGATAATCTTGTGTATTTTACTGAGTTCCCTGTCTACCATGCTGTGGTCTATGTGTTAGTGTTCACATCTGGACTGTTTTTACTGACAAGTTTGTTTTGATGGGCATCTGAACAGAGCCTTTGTGCCTCTTAGTCCCTCCGAATCCCCTTCTGAACGCTGTCTGGATTTAGGTTTTGTGCTGCACTTCCTGTGTCTATAAAAAGGTCAGTGGGAGCTGGAGTCTGGCACAGTCACAGGGCATGAAGGGACACTGCAGAGCCTGGTACTAGGGTTTTAATACTGCTAATTTTTTCCGTCTTTCCTTCTCTTTTATTTCCTTTATTAAAAGCTAAGGAGCTCATGCTCTCCTTGCAGAAACCCAGCTCTGTGTAAGGCCGTCTGCACATTCACTGAAACCACAATGAGTTCAGTGTTCTCATTTTGTCATGTTAGAAGCATTTGCAATTTGGAAACTTTCGGGTCAAATTTTAACCAAGCAGAGCCAAGACCATCTTTGCCTCCATGCTTTGTGCCCCACTTTCCCTCTGGGTAAAAATGAGTTTAATGATTTACAAGGCCTCAGTACAAGGCCTTGCTGCGCTCGCATGATGCTTCGGGGAGCTTCTGTGGTTCAGGGCTTCCTTCCCAGTGCTCCGTTGTTTCACCTCCAGCTGGATGACATCCCACTGGATGGTTGCAGGATGGAAAGATGGCAGGACAAAAAGCCGAATAGGCATGTTCCTTCTCCTCATCCTCCTCGGCCAGCGTGAGCATTGACGTAGAATCTGGCCTGAAGCCGTCCTGCAGCCAGACCACAGACACAAATTGACAACATGTGTCCTGGTGCACAAAAGCAGACTAGCTCCCCTGAGTTGGATACTCATTTAAATCCATGAGCAGAGTGTGTTATGACAGAAAGACAGATGAGAGACACAACTGTGATAAAAATGTTCTTCATTATTTACTTTACTTTACTTTTATTTTATTTACTGGTGAGATGTCTTTTTTGGATTGAATTGCCAAAGTGAGCCCACTGACCTGGGCTGGATTTCAGTGTGAAGTCTGTTTCTAACACAAGGTGGTCACAAACATGGTATCAGTCAACCCCTACACCAAACCAGTTACATTAACCAAGTGACCCATGAGCCACTGCTCCACATATTCTCTGTGAAGCCTTAGTTATGTAACAGCAGAATTAGTTGGTCTTTGGTCTGATGGATATGAAAATGGACAGTACGGTCTCTGTGTTTGGTGCTAATGTTTTTTGTACCCTCAGAGAGAAAGGAGGCACTGTGTGACTTTGCCAGTTAGTCCAAGGGGTTCAGTTCCCCGAGTGGTTCAGTGGGTTATGCAAAGCAAGAGTGATGTCACTTGATGTGACAAAATGTTGATGTTAATCGTCTGGGTCTGAAGTTTAGAGTGCAGAAATGTGACTTTCCCCCTTTTTAGTGGAATCATGTAATTTCATTAAAGACTAAAACACTCAGTTTGTAATTTCAGCAAAAACAAAAGAGTTAGTTCATGAGCTGTAGCTCTCAAGATGTAAAATGTTAGTTTTTTTTAATATCTGATCCTCTAAAAACAACACAGTAACTGCTGAAATCACAATGATCTCCAATGTTGTAACTTAATTCTTGTGACAAACATTGGTTCAAGTCACTATCTCACGTGTAATTTGTTGTCATGGCTACACAAAGAAGGATGGGTGGGTTGTTAATGGAAAAGTCTACTAACCTGACTGGTGGAAATGTGAGAATGACGTCTCTGTGTGGTCTTGGAAGCTGCACCAATATTTACCTTTCTTTGGTTCACCTGGCAGTAATGGATGTGCATACTTCATGATAGTTAACTGTTTTCCAACTTTAATTGTCACTCTCCGACAAACCACCTCATGTTCAAATGAAAAAGCATCTCTTCCTGGTAGGAGATTGGGGACATCTTGGGGTCTAAACAGCAGTGGGACACATTTATCTGCATGTAACTCAACAAACTTTATAACACACATGAAGCTATTAGTGATATAGATTTAATAACTGTGAATTCTTTGGTGCAGAAACATTCACATTATATTTAAAATGCACATTGTGTTGATTCTGGTGTTATTTAAGATAAGGACTGTTTCTCATGATGGTATGAAGTAATCAGCTGTTCAGAGTGACACTAAACTTCTGTCACTTGTTAGCTGGTCAGAGTGAAGTCACTCTTCAGGATCAGGATCATGACTCAGGAATCCAGCAGGAATTAAAGTTTCATTTCAAATTCCACATCACAAACGGACACATACCATACAGCTGTCACTGCCATGGTAACTATCAACCACAGGCCACTCCCTTTGTCTTTCACACACACACACACACACACACACACACACACACACACACACACACACACACACACACACACACACACACACACACACACACACACACACACACACACACACACACACACACACCTTCCTCCACTGATGTAATGATGACGTGATGGTGAGTCCACACCCTCTCTGGTCGTAAACTCATGTCCTCACCTTGCTTTTACAACAATAGCTACTGTTGTATCCAGCCAGGCCACACCCACTGATTGGTTTCATAGAGATCTATTGTGAAATTAACAAGGTTTCTGTTCTATAAATAGTTAATCATTACACTTACAGGTCCCTTTGTACAGGCACACCTTCATCACTAAAGTTGAGTAATAGAGAGCAATATAATTTATAAAAGTTAACCCTAGTAGTTGCTACTGATGCGTATGATGTCATCTTCCTCCATATACGTACCTCTGATTACTGGTTTTAGTGGTAATTTCTCTGGATGAGAGACCGAGCAGTATGATTCAGGAGAAGAAAAAAAACAGAAGAAACGCAAGACTACTAAAGCCACACAAAAATGTCAGTTCACTTGAATAATTAAAAAACAACCTTGAGAATGAGTCATTCCAACATTACAGATATTTTTGAAGCTCTTTGGGGGGGATTTCAGAGGTTAAGTTGAGGAGATTTGGACAGGAACAAGGGGAATCAGAGAGGGATGAGAAGTAGTAAAGCTGCTCAATTCCAGGATGTGGGTAATACCTGGTGTGTGTCACTAAACATGTGGCTACAAAACGCAGACCTCTTCCATTATCAGTTACTGATATATTTTGGAGTCTGTTGTTTCTATTTTTGAATATTTTGTAGAAATTTATTGTTGATTTAGTAAACTTGAAAACCATTAGTAATAGTGATTGACTCATATTGGTTCTTCAGCAGGTTATATACAGATGCAGATGATTGCAGAGCAGGTCAACCAATGAGCAATATATAACTTTAATGTCCTTGTTCTTGTTTTCTTCATTTGATGAAATATAACAATTTAATGACAATAACAGCTATCACCTCATGCACATTATCGAGGCAAGAAACATGTTTCAGATGGATTTTGAATTATTCACCGAGCGATGCAACGGATTTCAGAACATGTTGTGTCCAAGGAAATACTGAACTTGATAAAAGACCTCCTATTAAACACTCCTTAGTAACTGTTAAACCTGATCTACATACATAAAGTGTGTTGTCATATAAGGGGGCATTAACATTGCTTTCCAGTAGCCACTGCAGCCACACTGATGAGGCTGCCTGCAGTGTCTGCAGACACAAACACGTCTCAGAAGGGCAGCTGATGTTGATTATTTAAAAAAGCCTGATTTTTAGGCCTCACCATTGAATTGGTTTACCTCTCATCACATACCTGTGAATAGAAGTTGAAGCTGTAGAGGTGTCCAATCTGTTATGGACTATGTGAAGAGAAGACAACCTGAGGAGTCAATGCAGAAAAATGTTCACTCAAAGAAATGCTGTGGTATTTATGACTGAAAATGAACACCCTCATTCACAAACACATAAACACACAATGTTTTGTAGATAATTTCAGGAAACTGAGGACGTGACATTTCAGGAACTAGCCTTCAGCACACGCAGTTCAAAACCTGCTTTCACAACTCATGATACTCTGGGAGGTTTAAGTGGCTCAAGGTTAAGGATTTGTGAGATGATGATGTCCTTTTCTACATTAATCATTGTAACATGGAGCTGATAAAGAAGTTTCTACAATACCAGTGCCATAAGCCATGATCTAACATCGTCTGATAGTGTAAGGGGATGAATGCATCTGGGAGGAGACACCATGCTAACAACGTCCCTCAGGAGGACAGGTTCTAATTATCTGATGAAAGTACTGGTAGGTCTCAGTGCAACAGGAGACACACAGACATCTTACTGTGGCTGATGGTGCACTTTAGAGATTGAGACAGAATTAGAAACATATTCTCTTGAAAATTTACTTACAATGTACAGCTCAAGTTAGCTAAGAGAACAACATCAACCTCATGAGAGGAGTCCCAAAAAGGAGAGGAAAACATCTGTTTGTTGAAGTCAGGTTAGACTGATGTGCAGCCCGTGAGTAAATCAGGGAATTTTCTGGAATTTGGTGCATGTGTGACATGGAGCTTATCTGGATGTTTTTGGTGTCTTGACTCGGTAAGGGATTAGTCCTGACCCCTGGCTGAAGCCCTCGTGAAGTGCAGATGACAGGAACGGTGTGAGCCTCTTGTGTGTTTGGCTCTCCTGGTAAAGCTTCTTGAAGTCAGATGAAAAAAGGGTCATGTGTGTGGACTGATTCAGCTGGCTGTCTGTGTTTCTTCACTTTGAACATTGGGAGTGGACATGATCTTTGCCTCAGGAGAGGAGACAATGGGAATTGAAAGTGACCTGCACAACAAACAAACAGAAAAAAGTAATCTCTACCAAAAATCCAGTCTGTATGTTTTCTTACTGAGTTATTAGATGACGTTTTTGTCTCTGAGCCATCATGCTGTGGATTTTGTTCACATTTTTTTTCCGAGTGTAAACTTAACAGTGAGTCAAGTATTTAAAGACACATTTTCAAAAAAAACTTTTTTCTTCTCTTTGGTTCAGTTAACTTTTAAAAAATTCTATTTCATATGAAAGATCTTCAGCGATACAGTGTTTTTCAGACAAAATTTGTCCTCAGACGGGAGTTTTTAGGTTAGAAAAAAAATCCAATTCCTGACCCAATTCAGATCAGCTGACCAAATCAAGCCTTGCTAATTGGGGTCAGCCTGATTAAAGCTTTTCCGAGAGTGAGTCATTATTTCCAACATGAATCAGATTTTAGGATTAAAGAGAAAAAAGTGAATGATAACCGTGTTTCTACATTGATGCTCTCTCTTTCTTCCTTTGTCGTGATCAGGCTTTGATTGATTGATTGATTGATTGAGGTTTATTTTGAACATATATATAAAAATAACGATAAAAAAGTCAAGAATGCAACAACAAATGACAAAAAGGCTTATAATCTTAACCTAGATATTGCTCACATAGAAACTAAAGCTCACTCAGCTGCTGACCTCTTAGTCAAATACATGACCTTAGTGTAAGAGTGTCCAAAGTTACAGGCTGTCAACAAACTGGTTTTACTGAGCGGACTGGTCTCTGTGCTGTACCTGTGATGGCAACAAAGGCGTGATCTACAGACACACCTCTGCTGAACTGTGAGTCAGTCTGTGTGAATGTCTCAGGCCAGTTTATCTCTGCTGCCGTGAGTGACAGCGTGTTGACTTAGTCAGCCTGTGGTTGTGATAGCCACAAGGACACACAGGGCAGCCACACACAGGACGTTAGCTGTAAATATACATAAAAGGAGTGTGTGTGTGTGTGTGTGTGTGTGTGTGTGTGTGTGTGTGTGCGTGTGTGTGTGTGTGTGTGTGTGTGTGTGTGTGTGACCAGGACAGAGTGTAATAAGGTGCAGCTCAGTCACACCCAATGAATTAAGCTTTTATTTTACAAAACCCAATTCCATTGAAGTTGAGAAATTGTGATAAATGCAAATAAAAACAGAATACAGTGATTTGCAAATACTTTTCAACCTATATTCGATTTAATACACTACAACAACAAGATATTTAATGTTCAAACTCATAAACTTTATTTTTCATGTTTCATGGCAGCAACACGTGCCAAAGTAGTTGGGAGAGGTGGCAAAAAACACTGATAAATTTGAGGAATGCTCATCAAACACCTATTTGGAACATCCCACAGGTGAGCAGACTAATTGGGAACAGGTGGGTGCCATGATTGGCTATAAAAGCAGCTTCCCCAAAAATTCTCAGTCATTCACAAGCAAGGATTGGGCGAGGTTCACCACTTTGTGAACAACTGCATGAGCAAACAGTCGAACAGTTTAAGAACGTTTCTCAAAGTACAATTGCAAGGAATTTAAGGATTTCAACAACTTTATTGAACAGATGATGACGTCAGCCCAGTTGTAGTGAGAGCTTTGTAGATTGTGAACTTCAGGTTAGTTTTAGTCTCACGCCAGAAAAGTCTAAATCTCACGCTCTTGTTTTATCATTTAAGTGTTTACAAGATAGACTGTATATACTATGGACAACTTGGTTCCGCCTACCGCCTGTATACGGATTTGAAGCCAAAAAGCTCTCGGTATTTCCAGGATTTTTCTTCTATTTTTCCTGAAACCAGCGCTGCGCAGTAGCGATGCGCGCATTCAGCCGCGCAGTTGCCGAGAGTCGCTGTGATGACACTCGGCTCAAACAGCGTGTCCCCCGGGAGAGCTACGCAATCCCTGAATGCCCATAGGCTGTATCAAGTGTCAATTATAGAAAACATGAACCCCCTAATAACTTTTAAAAACTGAGCTTCACAGAAAAAAGAGGACTTGAGCACAAACCAGTCTTAAATTAACTACATGTCAACATCACAAGCAGGGGGGAGAAAAATGTATGTTCTGCGTAATAAATTTCTAAAGTTTGTCCACAGTCCCATAAGCTTTGCTGGCGGAGGCGGGATTTATGACCTATACTGCAGCCCATCAACAGATGGTGCTGTTTTCGGAGTGGCTTCACCCAGCGAGGAGGCAGACTCTGTCCATTCTTTATACAGTCTATGGTCTACAACCAAAGAATTTGACAAAGACTTGAGAGAAATGCACAGAGAGACGTCTGTCCTCCATGACAGGATCCTCTGCAGGTGGTTTTACAGACCTGAAATGATTGTGCTGGTCTATGGTCTGTATTTATCTTCTAGCAGGCCCATGCTTTTTTCACCTCTGTTGAAGGGCAACCTTTGTCCACACTACCAACTTGTTGACTTGTGCCGTAGTGTTTATGTAACTGTGTCTGCATGACATGGAACAAAAGGCTCGTGTGTGTAAATCTGAGATTGGCAGAGGATCATGTTGATCACAGAGGAACAGGCTGAAATCATCCGGTTCTGGTCACCAGCTGATCAGACTGTGAACCTCTTTAAATGACAGTTTTTGAACAGTGTGAACAAAGACACTCAGATGTTTGTGGTATCACACATCTGATGGCTAACCTTTAAAAAGCTTAAAAAGATGGAAAAAGGTTTTTTTTACTACTTAATTTATTAAAATCTAGAGTATAATAATTTATTTTCTATTTATGTTACATCTTTTAAAAATCATTGGTTTACAAAGTGCTTGCAGAGTAATGAAAAAGACAAAAAGCTTAACAACAGAAAAGCCAACCATTAAATAACCCATCCAGCATAAGAACCCAACCCCAGGAGAACCAAAGCAGCATCATAATTCAAATTAACACAGAAGAAAAAACATGGAGAGGAGACGAGAACCTGGGCAGTATGTAAACTTAACAGTATGAACTAAGAGCAAGAGGATGGTAGATGTAAGGGAACTTCAAAATTATAATTGTCACAGAAACAGACAGAACTATCGATTCTTAAAGCCTTATTTTGTCAAGCAGGTTGTTCAAAAGTTGAGGGGCTCTGATTAAAAGAGAACAATCTCCTTAAGTTTATAGTTCTTAGCATTTTAGACACTGAAACCCATCTTAGCTTTTAAGTGATCTTTAAAATCTAAAAACCAATGTGAAGATTAACGGGGAGTCAGTGCAGAGATGCTAATATTGTTGACTGTTTGAACCTGAAAGAAGCTTAACTGCTGCCTTTGTGCTAACTGAAGGTGTAAGATGTAGAATAAACTCACACGACATTCTTGAACTGTGTCAATGCTTCTTGATGCTTCTGCAGATTTTTTCCCACAGCTTTTTTTTTTTTTTTTGCTAATATGCATGTTTCTTTTTCTCAGGGTTGTAACCCGTTCGCCCAGACTGGACGGAGCAAACTGCAGAACAAGCGAGCCAGTCTGAACCAGCAGATCATCAAACAGATGAGGATGAGGGCAGGGGCTGAGAACCTGCTGAAGTAAGAACAAAACCAGTAACTGACTAATAACATGTGCTTACATAACATACACACATGTGTCAGCTTCATTTAGGGATTTATGACACTGTGTTCTTTACACGGAATCACTCCTAAATTAAATTTTTAAACATAGGGTTCAGGATGAACCAAAACGATCACACACACGCCACCACAGTTCTGAATCGGCATTTGTTATATAAGAGGAAACCAAGTTCCTATCACTCCCTGCTCCTAAATCATGCATTTATCTTTCATGTGTCTGAAGCAGCAGACACTTCTGTCACTGTAACATATGTGACCTCCAGTAAACTACGGCTGTCTGTCATTACATGACTTGAATTCTTGGTAAAGCTTAAAACTACAAAGGGAACGGGGAGGCTGATACCAGCTGATAAGAATCTGGATGAGGGGCATTTTTCTTTGTGCCCTGAAAACAAAGAGCCTCTGTGACATGTGGTTGAGAGAAAACCTCAAATGTCAACATTGCTCAGCCTTTGTCTATTGATTATAGCCTTTAAACTTTCCTGATGTTTCCTGTAAGGGTTGGATTGATCAATTGGATGCCAGGGTTCGTCGCAGACAGCTGTCTTTGACCACAATGATACTACATGAATTAAAATCCAATGTCTGGGCCAGACTGTTTTTCCTTTCATTCAATTCAGTCTAACAGATCAGCCGTCGTGTAGACCTTGATTTTGGAGCATCTGATGTTTAAACATCTTTTTCCATTACCTGCAGAGAAACATCATACTTACATACATTAAGCTTTAAATGTGCATCAAAGCACTTCTCAGGCAAAAGCAGAGCAGATGTTACGTAAGGAATAATGTGTGGCGAACATCATGTATTTTCAGGGGTTTCTCATGTCTCAAGCTGAAACACACTGACTCCTCTTCCTTCACTATGCACATTAAAAGTAGGTGAAGTTGTGCCAGATTCCCTTGCTCTGCATGAGCATGATAGTGTCACCATGTTTTGCCACTTTGACATGTTTTAGTTACCTGTTGCCTCCCTGTAACTGTTTTGCATGCACAACTCTCAGAAGAAGTACTATGGCTTCAAGGTGACTCACCCCTCAGTTGCTCAGCTCCAGAAAACCACATTATGTCTGCTCAGTATGAAGAAATCTGCTGTTATGTAACCAGCTAATTGTAGACCATTAAGGATCCTATGAAGAATTTTTAACTCGTTGAGAAGCACCAAAACTGATACTCGTATGTTTTCATGCACAGTTAAGTTAAGCTACAGTTATTGCGTGATTAGGCAGTTTCATTGGACCACTGTCCTGGTCCTTGTTTACATGCACTTGACAAAAGTCCAGTAATTGACTGAAGCATGTCAGCTTTAGCTTGGTAGGTGGCGAATCCCCCTTTTACGGGGATTCGCCACCTACCAGGGGGATCAGACCAGACAATCAACAGCATGCTGAAATAAACAGTCTTTTTACTTATACACTATATACAGACATACAACTCGAGAGACTGATTTTACCATTGGAAAACAACAGGGTGAGGTTTGTCTGAAAATATGTCTTTCACGTGTTCAGGACAAGGGAGGAGAAAAATCAGAAGATAAATCCACAGCGGGCACCATAAGTAACACAAGCAGAAAGTTCCTCACAGGAACTTTAAATTTAATGGAAACTTCTATTTTCATCATTATGTCATGGATGTCTTCAGTATTTTTATGGACATAATTGAGTAATTGTTGCACCCCTGTTTTATATATGTACAGTATGTATACTGCAAAAGCACAAAGTTAAGTAGCTCTGATTCCCCACAAAAAAAATTCTATATGCATGTTTTTTTACAGTGTCTGCAGCTTGTTTAAGAGCTCTCCATGACAGTTGATGTTGTCAACACTCAAAAACATCAAATGGGCTGTAGGAAATAGTGGTCTGAAGAAATCAGTGATAACCTGACATAGCTCACCTGGAGATTTTAGACAAATGCAGATGTTCTGCCCATGGTCTGACAGGGCTGGTGTCATGTGATGTGTGAGTACTAAATAAAGTTGTCTGAGTACACTTTAGAGGGAGTTTAAGAAGAAATTGTGGTTCAGTATCAGGTTTTCATATCTGAGGGGTGAATTTCTGAATGTCATTGGAGTAAAATTTGTCCTAAGGAAAAGAGTAGGTCTTATATAACAAAGCTGTAGTTTTTCATTGTTTGTTTAAATCCCTGCCTGAGTCCATGTTGTGACAGGTGAGTTTGATGTTTTTCCCTGAAGATCTTTGAAATGCTCTCCCCAAACCTGTTACACTGGAAAAAAGTTTTTAAGTAGCTCGCTGCCTGGTAAGACAAAAATAGTCACTAAAGCTTTTGAGCTTTAAAGTCATCTCTTAATTGTAGTTAGTTTGAGGAAATCTTACACGCCTATGAGTCTTTTTGTGGAAAGTATGGATTAAAAATTTCCAGGGTTGAACCAACATCTGTCAGACATACTGTAAACAAAAAGCTCGAAAAATAGTGTTTATGGCAGGCCCACTGAACTGGTTTGCACAAGGTTATACAAATCCTCCTGTTACTGTGTTTACCTTCTATTCAGCAGGGATGATGGTGTTTCTTAAACAGTCAGGATAGTCTGGAGTTCAGTGGACTTCAGGTCAAATGATGGACTATTTAATGTTAGGGTTACCTTAATCTAAAACAATGAGATTTCTGAGTCTGCTCTTTTTTGATATGTGCTCAGAGTAGTCTAGAATGAGAGGATATTGCTGTCTGTGTGTGTCTGACTGTGTGTGTGTGAGACTCTGCTCAAGTGTATGTTTTCACAAAGCTGGTGTATGCTGCGGGACCAGCTTCAGGAGCCCCCACATTCCTGCAGTTCTTCACATAGTCTGTCTGCCCAGCCAAGGCCAGGGGCAATGGACTGTGTGTGTGTGTGTGTGTGTGTGTGTGTGTGTGTGTGTGTGTGTGTGTGTGTGTGTGTGTGTGTGTGTGTGTGTGTGTGTGTGTGTGTGTGTGTGTGTGTGTGTGTGTGCCAGCCCAGCTGCAGCACAGAGAGCAGCCTGGATGCGTTTTTGAGTTCCGGGTATGCTCTCAGCTTTATTTTAAGGCTATCAAACACATATGGCCTGAATGTAGATCTACCTGTGATCTTCCATCTGTGTTTAGGGTTCAGTGTGCATGACACGGTTGCCACGGTTACGCTTCATGCTTGAAAATTCAGCTGAAATGTACATGTCAAAGATGGATTGGATGTTTGCTTGTGCTAAAGTATGGCTCTGTTTCATAGAGCATGATAGAGAGTAGCAGCAAACAGAGATTGCGTAAAGAGAATTTGTTTTGAGTCATTGTGATCCATGACAAAGAAACACTACTTTGTTTTTCTGTGTGTGTGTGTGTGTGTGTGTGTGTGTCTTTTTTTGCATTTACTGCTATCAATTTCAGAGCCTCACCTCTGATTCTCTCCTGTTCTGCATTCTTGTCTCTATCAGCAACAGGTGGAGTCCGTCTGGTCTGGCCAGTTCTCCTGTCCTCTTTTTTTTCAACTCTTTTTTTTCTTCTCTTCAGACTTTTATTCTCATATCCTTTTCCTTTTGTTTTCGTTGTCTTTTAATTGCATTACAGAAATGTGAAACTCACAGGTATTTACAATGCTATGACTGGACACAGCCTACAATCAATTTTATCTTTATTTTTTTAGATCAAAATGTAGACAAATCTGGTCATGATTCAATCTGCCATCTGTGCCTCAGTACTTACTAGGTTTAGGCCAGTGTGTTTTTTTTTTATTTGACAGCAAACTTCCAGCAGTCTTCCTCAGAAAAGTCCAATGATGTTGTTGTGATTTTGTCATTCAGCTGATTTAGAGGTTTGGCCATCCTAACTAAAGCAGCAGGACAACCATGCCCCTGTTGTCTGATAGTCTCCGGACAGCATCCCAGGTTTGTGAAAGCAAGTGGGCCTCCTCATCTCAGCTTAATGACCTCTGGGCTGGCTACCTGATGTCCTCTGCCTCTCTAATCCAGCTTTGGTATCTATTGCTCTCTTAGTGGATGGCCTCGGCCTCCTCACTCAGTCTATGATGTGGTTTCTTCTCTTGTAGTGGTCTGAGATGGCTGATTATCAGTTCTCTCGGTCTGCTTCTTCTGTGCTCGTATCTCAAACATTCTGCCTGTTTTGCTGATGTTTGTTTTTAATACCAAGAATTCATCTCGTCATTCTGGTGTCCTCTTGTAAAGGCAATGATGTTTAATCTGCCAGCTGACAAAGAATAACAATCTATTGGATCCCGTATTTTCCGTCATATACCTGGACTTTAGGGTCTTAACTTTGACTGATAGAGTAATTTCTCAACCTGAGGGTTGGGGGTTCAATCTCAGGTCCTTCCCAAAGCGGTGTGTTGATGGGATTAATTCAAACTGATGGTGCCTTACATAGCGGCTCCTGTCATCAGTGTGTGAATGTGGTGTGAATGGGTGAAGGTACCACATTATGTAAAAGCACTTTCAGTTGTGAGAAGATGAAAGAAATACCCTCCTCCCTGGTGTTATTCACAGATCACTGGCCATGTTAGACCTCTCTATCTCCTGAATGTCAGTTTCTTTCAACCTCACACCTTCAGTTTGTGAACAACAGCAAAGCAAAGGCAACTTTAAAAGTGGTATCGGGGTAAACTAAACTTGGGTTTAGTAGTTTTAGCTTTTCAAGTACACAGTTTTCCTCAGGAACTGATCCTGCAACCAGTGTGACAGGGACTGTAGCTATTGTACATGAGGCTGGTGGTTAAACCGCTAGACTAACGGTGCTTCAGGTTTATTTTACTCTAAATGGGTAAAACGCTGAAGTTATTTTGTAATTAAAAAATAATAATAATAGTGGAAAGCACCTTTAAAGTTTGCTCTTGGCGAGTTATCGTATCCCTCTGCTATAAAGCTAAAATCAGAGTCAGTACCTGTTCTTTCTTCTCTGAGGAACAGAAAACAAACTGTCAGCCTGCCAAAGAAATCGAGTTAGCCTCCTTAGAAAAAAGGAGAGGGAAACTTCAGTGAAACCACACACTCTGTTTTTACAGTCTGATTCTCACGCTCAGTGGGACCCTATTAGATATTAAATTGGATATTAATAACAGGCTTTGGGGCTCTCGGGCTGGCATCTACCCTGGCCAAACCACAGCACCTCCACCCCTCCTCCCTGATAGTTTCCACAGACCTTTTCAGAAACCGGCCAGCAGGCTGGAGGGAAGTCATCATGTGGTGTTGGTGCTAAGAAGGGGTTGACAAACCAATTTGTTGCATGCAGAGACAAAGGAGAGTGAACCAGTTCAGGGGTGAAAACTGCTCCACTGTGTTAGAATAAATTGTTTTTGTAGCTTTTGGAGTTTGAGGACATGCTTGACTTTGTGCAAGATCATTATGTTATATATAACTATGGAGCATGTGCAGGAAACTTACACCAGTTTGGGGCTGATTTGGGTGTATGCGTATTTGCAATATATTATCATCAATTCATCATTGTTTAATTGCATGTTACGAGTTTCTGGTTCTAGCTGTAGTTTGTACTTTTGCATTAAACTTGCACAGAGAGCAGTATACAAATGTGAGGAGTTTATGTCATACTGGCTAAACTTTGAGTGAAAACATCCTGGAAACTGATCTATAGGACAGATTGGAAACCTTGCTTATGGTGATCACAACTGCTGAGTTACTTACAATTACTAATGCTCTGTTAGTTCTTTTTTTAAAGAAACTTTGTTGAGGTTGTTGCCTTCAAGGAAACCTTGTTCTGAGGTGTAAATATGTAAACAATAAGATTGAAATGGAACACATTTTCGTTACGACATTGTTGGTTTAGGCCTGAAGCATCTATAAGGACCTTCATTTTGATTTTTGTGACCTGTGTGGACTCAAATAGCCAAGTAATCACCCATCGTGAGTCTCTAATGTATAAATATTAAAGACAGATGTTTCTGTAGCATGCTCCAAAAATTTGTTTTATTACCTGCTAAAAACTCCTCTCTGGAACTTTAATGTGTCTAAGTGTTTCCCTCTCAGCCCTCTAACCTGCCCCTGAACTTTTTTTTTTTAAATGTCTGTCTGTCTGTCTGTCTGCCAGCTCTTCTTCACGTCTCACCTGTCTTGTTAAAATCACATCCTCTGTAATTACAGGGTAAAGGGCGATCAAGTGACAGGGGTGCAGCTTATACTGACAGCTGTGAAATCTATAGAGCCATCTCTGAAGTTTGGGGAGGGTGTGTGTATGTAGGTGAGGGTTTGTCTCAGATTAGTTACTATTGAACTGTTAAGTATCACAGTCCACCGTGAAAACTGAGGAAAGGATGATACAAACCAGTGAGATTCGTGCCTTTGTTTTGGCATTGCCTTGTTTTACAATAGATTAATGTGAATGGCAGTTTTTGTTTTCACTGACTGTCAATGCAACATAAATCCTGCTTTTCAGAGGCCTCAGTCACTTTGTATCAGCCTGTTGACACACACACACACCCCACAGAGGAATTATTACAACCTTATCTCAGCTGTGCAGAGAGCCCTCAACTCTTTTGTGCAAATATATACACAGTGCAAAAATGGAATCCTCCCAGAATCACCTTTTTGTTTAATCGCGTGTCTGAGTATTTATTATTTCTTAAATGCACAAACAGAGTCAATGAAAAAATTCAGATAAAGGTGACAGACATGCATCTATACATATTGATGATTTTCATATGGAAATATATTGCTGGGGTTACTGGGACTGCAACTGTGGTACATGCATGGTGTTGGAGAGTAAATCAAGCTCAGCAGGACAGAGCGACACAAGTCTGTGGTCTTAAATATCCGCTTGTTTTAACAATCAGCCGAAGGAAACTTCGGCTACGTCAGAGGAGCTAGCTGATAAGACTTTTTTTTTAAAACCTTTTTTTCTTCTTTTTGCAGGGCTTCATCCAACAACAAGGTGAAAGAGATGGTTCTGCTAGAGCTAAGCTATGTCAACTCCAACCTGCAACTGCTGATGGGACAGTTGGAGGGACTCAACAGCTCAGTGGAGGTCTACCAGAGTACCCAGTGAGTACAATCATCTCTGCTTCTGCTTTTACTTTGACTTACTTATTTTTATAATATGGTAATTACTGCTTAGAGACAGGCATTACCATGAAACATTAAAACAAAGAGAAAATGTGAGAGTGCAGCAGCATTGCTGTATTTACATGCTTATGAAGCACATCAGTGAAAACATATAATCAGAGAAAGAAATAATAGGTTCACAGCAGCTGATCTTGTGATGCTCTGTTTCTTTGGGCACCTTTTCTGCACAAACACCCGACAGGTTCAGCTGATGGTTCACATTTTAGATCACTCAAAGATTTTCAGCTCACTGAGAGGTTTCCTGTGTTACTTACTGATTTATTATTAAAATAAAACATCTTAAAAAACAAAAAAATTGAAAAAGTTTTAACCCACATTCTGACAAAAATTCAAGGCACTTTGTTTTAACCTCAGCTGTTACAAAAACAGTCTTTTAAAAAATGACACATTGATATCGTGCTTAAACTAAACATACAGTAATGCCGTGAGTTTATGAGTTTGGGTTCTTTATGTTACTTTCCACATATTCTAAAACAGAGGAGAAAAAATGAAACAGCAGCTGCTAGCAAGCTAGCTTTAACTAAGCTAGCCCTCTGAGATATGATTTAACTAACATTTAAAGATTTATTATAAACCCAGAAATAAAATTCTCAATTCATATAACTGTATGTGTGTAGGTCTGCAACTTGTAATCTACCAAACGTTGAATACCGTGAAATAAAAGGCATGGTTTACAATGCAGGAAATTAAGCAACCTTGACACAGACAGAAAAATATCAACATGAAAGCATGAAAGATGATTGTTTAATGAGGCAATGTCCTCTTCAAATAAACTTTGGTTTAGGATTTATCGATAAATCATAAATTAAAAGTAAGTAGCGGCTATTTATAAATTTTATGTAGTAATGTGATGCTTCACCCTTGTCTTGCCTTTCCTCACCATATCATAAATATCACAATAATAATCACACAGAAACTAGGTGATAAAAAAATTCATGGGACTAAATTTAAGAGGGTTGTTTAAGATCAGGTTTTTCCTGTAATTCATAACCATATGTATATCAATCAATAAAGCACGCCGATCAAACTAAGAAGCACTCCTTCCTTCCTTTGCATCTTTGAAATCTCATCCTATGTAAGGTTTTCAAAACCAGACTGTTCACAAAGATAATCCCTCAGAGCTGAAAAACATCAGTTTGTATTTTTCTAAGAGTTAAAATGACAGTCTTGATTGGCAGTCTGATCTGGCTCTGACAGTCATCATGCTCTGTCAGATGACAAACAACTGATGACAGGCGATAAGCAGAGAGTTTGATAGATGGAGACTGAGGAAAACATGAAGACTGAGCGTTAGATTAAGCTGCTAAACTGGACGAGCTGGTTTCTGGGACACAATACTCAGAGCGACAAGGAAACAAGGAGGCAAACTTTTATGCAAACTGAGATAAGCAGCGAGCACAAAGCTCCTCTCAGTCGGTCTGATGATGATGGGGTGTGGATGGGTGTGTAATGCTGATAGTTCTGGTGTTTTCTTTCTTCAAACATCAGCCAGGTTTATTGGGTGCGGACAGAATTGCATGTGTGTCATGGGATTCATGCGTTGTCTTTGTCACGTGTCATTTAAGCTTTATGTACATTCACGGTGTGAAGGATTTATGACAGTTCAAAAACAGTGACAGGTTGTTGAAAATGATCACCTTTGTATGCTGGAAAATAATGGCTTTCCAATAAATTTCTGTGTCATGACCAAAGACTGTATATAGGATGGACACCGTCTGCCTCCTCACTGGGTGAAGCCACCCCGAGAACAGCACCCTCTAACGATGGTATAGGTCATAAATGCCGCCTCCTCCAGCACTCCCTATGGAGCTGTGGACAAACTTTAGAAATTAATTACACAGAACATACATTTTTCTCCCCCCTGCTTGTGATGTTGATATGTAGTTACTGTAAGACTGGTTTGTGTTCAAGTCCTCTTTTTTCTGTGCAGCTCCGTTTTTAAAAGTTATTCGGGGGTTCATGTTTTCTATGATTGACACTTGATACAGCCTATGGGCATACAAAGATTGCATAGCTCAGCCGAGGGATACGCTATTTGAGCTGAGTGTTATCACAACGACTCTCCCGCTGAATGCTACAACACTACTGTGCAATGTTAGTTTCAGGAAATCGAGAAAAAACGCAGAATTACTGGGAGCTTTTTGGCGTCAAATCCGTATAATGATGGAAGGTGGAGCCAAGTCGTCCATAGTATATACAGTCTACGGTCATGACATGATATAGGGTATACTAACAAATTGCACTTATTTTCAAGGATTCATTTTTATTTATGTCTTTTCTGGCTTTCTGTCTGTATTCAGAGATAAAAGGGAGAGAGGGTTCAGGCTTGTGTGGTACTAGATTTCTACTCCAGCATCACAGATGGTAACTGGCAGCATTTATTTAAGCTGCTTTCACACTGGATCCACCACCACTGAGACTAAACACATGCAGAACTATATGAACACAGTTTGTCTTTCAAATGTGATCATGAAAAAGTAAAGAAAATTAATTTGGCTAACTTCAGAGCAAGTAACAAAGACATTTATTCTAATGTAGTCAAGTCAAAAGTATATTTGTGTGAATAAAAGTAAGACGTTTCCCCTAAAATGAGAGTAAAGTCAAATGGAGATGCAGACAAATTTGTACCTCGTATTGAAGTAATTAAACTTCATCACTACCTACAAGTAAACATCACCATTGCTTCTCAAATTGTTCCTCTATTCCTTTCTCTGAAGGCAGGTCAGAGAAAGAAGGACTTCACCATTCAATCTGTTTGTTACACCTAGACCTAAACAGCTGTCTAATGAAATGGAAATTGAAAAGCACTCATCTGAGGTTTGTGTGGTCCAGCAAATTTCAGAGTACTTGGAGGTTCTTAGGTTTGGGTTCGTCTGCTTCCTGGTGGCTCTTCTTGTAAAGAGCACTCAACTCTCCATCAACCATCTGCTTAATTCCACAAAGAAAAGCACTAACACCTTTTACTACACTGGCTAACTATGCACCAATCTGCAATATACATTAAAAACACAGTTGTACACGTGAAGCACATATTTTTTCACACATTTTAATCACTTTGATATTTGCACAAATATGTGGCAGAGAATTGTAATGATGGTCTGACAGAGAAGCTTCAACACACAAACACACTTCTGTCAGGTTGCTCATGACAACAAACCACAACAGACCGCTGAAGAGATGAGAAGGGTGGGGGGGGGTTGAGTGACCAAGGTAACGGTTCTGAGGATCATTGATGAAAACCTTTTGTCTTTTTTTCTGGTTGCTCCTGGTTGCTACTACTCATTTCTGATGATAAACAGAGTTCAATCTGCTCCTGATTCTAAAACCCAAAATACCAGCCGTCATGGCACACCCAGTGTAGTTTGTTTTGTTACAAGATGTCAGTGCTGTGAGAAGCCAGAATTGTTGACCTGGTTTTAAAAATCATGTTTGTAGACAGACACTCCCAGTGTGAGCTGGTAAAAGAAAGACAGGTTTTAACTGTCAGGAAATCTGAAAGAATCTTCCTAAACTTGCTTTGTCTTTCTGTCAGGGACTGTGTGCAAAGAAATAACATACAAAGCTTTGGTGCTGGTGAAAAATTTGCACACCAACGTCAGAAAAAAATTCAAGATCAAGTATACTTTAAAGACCCTGAAGGAACCTTGGGTCTGTACTCTGTACTGCAGTAAAAAGAGACAAAGGAAATTGGCCTATATCAGTGATATTACAGTGTATATTATCAAAAACAGACACTTCAAGGTTGTAAGATGCAGTCTGCAAACAGAAGGTTGGTCATTGTGAAGGCAGAGGGGACGCGACAGTGTCAATGTAGCAGCAGCAATAACAATGGAAGATAGTTTTAAGGACAAGCTGTTACAGCATGTCTGCAATTAGCCATGCCTGTATGATGTGTCACTGTCACTGCACAGCAACTGACTTATCTGTTCGAATAGCTGGTGACAGATTACTCCTGCAGCTCCTATATGGAAACCTGCAAAAATGATTGTTAACAAGCTTATGTGGCCTGTGCACTGAGGACAATGTCTGTGAATCACAGCAGAGCCTGGTCAAGAGTGTATTATGTCCACCAGTCATCAGTCATCTGAGGAAGCCTGGCTGAGGAAACATGTCAGCTGCAGGGACTCTGGCATCAATTTGATATCAGAATAATTGAAGTCATGGAAACCATTTCTAGTGCACATAGTGTTAAGTTATCACATATGGCCTTAGCTCTCTGGTGTGCCCTCTAGTAACATTTGTAGTGCCTAGCCAAGTATGCAAACTAGTATGTTTGACACAGTTCTTCATTACTCACTAAGATTTATTACTAGTGATCATTAACATTCCCATCACTACATCCTGCACAAAAAGTTGGCTGGCCCTCTTTCTCTTAGAGACTTGATGTGTGTATCTGTTTTTTAATTCTTTAACATGTCGGTCTCAAATATGTTTATGGGTTAGTCTGACTGGAACTGGACTTTTAAGATGCTCCAAGTCGAAATTTTTATAGTCAAACATTCCTATATGGTGCGTTAGGAGATCGATTTTCTCTTGCATGTATACAGCTCAGTCAGACTCAAACTACCCAACAGATGCCTCTTTGGGCCCTGAGTGTCCTTTGTCACGTGCCATTAGACTGACTCTAGTGTGGAGCAATAAAACACCTGCTCTCTGCCCCATCCTTGGACAAAGACCATGCTGTGAAACTACCATCACCTGTCTCCTCTTATGTTTCTAAATACCTGAAAAGTCCAAAGTGTTCACATCATCAGAAAAAAGCCACACATCCAGCTGTATAGGATACATAAGTGAGGGAATATCAGATATGTTGGGAAAGTCCTCCTCTGTCGTTTCTGAGCAGGTGTCTCAGCGCAGTTACGCTGCACAGCCACAATAGAGAGTTATCGTCTTCTTTTTCCTCCTCTTCCTCTCAGCCTGAAATACAACCTCAGCATTCACAAAGAAAACAAAAACACTGTACTCGTCTTTCTAGGCTTTTCCCACCGGTCCACTGTCTCCTGAATAGCTTCTTTCTGTTGTTATTTCTCACTCAGACCAGATTCAGCTGGTTTTGGTGTGAGGTAATGCTTAACTGAGAGCACATATGTGAATAGTACAATACATGTGCATGACATGTTAGAGTGACATCACAGCCCAGGAACAAGTGCTGTTTTTTGATGCCCTTGTTAGATACCGTAGTACATACAGCCAGATTGATTAGCACATAGAGTCAAACTGTGAGCATGTTTTTTTTTCACACTCTGTTTCTCTCACAGGACAGTAAATATAGTGAATGTTTGTTCAGTTTCTCTGTGTACTGTCCTTGATTTGGTGTAACAAGCTGAACTTTCTCAGAGACCTCCTGAATCCAGCTGATAGATACATTGAGATATGAACAGCAGCTACTTTAGGCTATGTTGATAAGGTTGCTTTACAGATTAGAGAGAGATGAACAGTTTGCACTTCAAGACAGTCAAGTAACCCACTCATCAGAGCTTGCCCTACTTTGAATAATCCCATAGTAACTGGTTCATTTTTCTGATGCTACAGGACATATCACAAGAAAAAGAAGTATGGGATTACATTTCCACACACACTGTGTGGAAAAGATCCCAGTGGAATTTACTTCAACTTTTTGGGGGGAGCAAACAATGTGTTTTGCCTGTAGCTTCTTCAGGTTGGCCCTGCTGGGCTGAATAAAAAGCATTTTGGCTGTCCAGTTTAAACTACAGTTCAGTTAAGGTTTGGATCTGTTCCATGTCCTGCACACTAGCACTTACAAGACTGTTTTAGAGGTGTGTGTGTGTGTGTGTGTGTGTGTGTGTGTGTGTGTGTGTGTGTGTGTGTGTGTGTGTGTGTGTGTGTGTGTGTGTGTGTGAGGGGAGGTGGGTTGAGCTTCTGAGAGGCTTTAACTTTCCTACCCCCCCCCCCCCCACACACACACACACACACACACACACACACTTTCAGTAGAAAAGACCTCAGAGTGATCTCATCTCATCTCTGAGTACTAATGGATCCCTGCAGCCTCTCTCAGGCTCTGTGGCTGCTGCTGCTGCTGATGATGAATGAGGGTTTGTTTGATTCACAGAGCTGGAGACCGGAGGAATGCTGCCTTATCATCCTGTGATGAATGAGTGTGAAGAGGTCTTTTTCTCCCCATGCTTCAGGATTTTGGATGTTTGTTTCAGTGAACAGACTGTTCTGCGTCTCTGATCCCTCTGACGGCAGGAGTCCTAATTAAACATGATTGTGAAAATAATGGCACAATAGATGGTTGATGTTATCAATGAGCAGACCTGTTGCCCTCATTTGCTGTTAGTTGAATAACTTAAATGCCACTCAAATCCAGAGGCATCACACACTTGTTTTTAAAAGCTTTGTTTATTCGGCAACACCTCATTCCCCTGCTGCAGGAAGGGGAGGGTTTGGTTTTTTATAGACTCTGTCTGATCAGCAGCAGGTATCGGTTGTATTTCCTCAGAGCTGATAACAAGCTGAACCTGTTTTCCATCTGTCAGCAGAGGGGTCCCCCAGGTTCATACAGTGCAGAAAACCATTAAAGCCAAAGCTGAGATCTGAGGAGAGGGCTAACCTGGGGGTTTATGGCAGCCTTTGTTTACTGTTTGGGGGTTCAATTAGTGTTAGCAGGAATGTAGCAGAGACATTAATCATCAGAGGGTTTGGTAGCTTTACTGTTGAAGGAAAGGTGGGGGGCTGCCTGTAAATCCTCACTCCTACAGTGTGCTCTCTCAGCACCATCTGTCTAATCCAAAACTCCCCCTCAATGAAACTATGCTCAAGGTTAAGTCAAGGTTAACGGATTAAAGTCTGAACTTTCTCAAATGATAAAGCTTTTACACCAGTGAGATCAAACTGGTTTGTGTTATTATTAATGAGTTAATGTTACCCTCTGCTTGTGACCTGAAACCGCTCACCTCACATGATTTGTAGTGAGAGGGAGTTTCTTGATGTAATTTTTTTTCATCTCGAACCACACCTCTGAGCCTGCTCTACTTCAATATTAACCTGTCAAAAGCATCAGTGGACTGTACATGGAAAGATTTATTTTAATTTTAGCTATTTCTGGTGGTTTTTGCACTAACTTTGGTGGGACAGCTTGAGAGAGTCAGGAGTTGTGGAGAAAGAGAGTGGAGAGTAGCCAGGCCTGGGAATCGATCCTATGACAAGTATGAGATCAATTGTAGCCTCTCTTCATGGGGCGCCTGCCCACAGCTGAGCTAAATCAGAGTAATTAAATCTGGAAATGTATTTAGTCTTGGTACTCTCAGCAATCGTTACTCTTGTGTAACTATGTAGCGAGCCTGAACTAATTTCTGATGCGTCCATAAAGCAGCCATAGTGACTTAAACTGGTGACCTAAATGCCATGTTACTACACTACAATATAACAAAGTCTCAAACCGAAGCCAAGAGGTTAGAGGCACCAGTATCCTTGAATTCAGAAAAGCTCTGAATTTGAAGGGAAACTGAGTCCTTGTATCCTATATGAGCTCAGGTAGCAAGTGTAGCTGAAGTGTTGTTAATGTCATGAAATTGCAAGCACTTATTTGCAGGTATTGTTTTATTTGTTGGTTTCACATAATGCGTGACCACCTTAGGAACTTCCTTGGGGCTGTATGCCTGACTAGCTTTTTTTAACTGAAGTTCATTATCTATGCAACAATGTCGGCTTTATTTATATAGCACATTTAAAACAGCCAGTGGCTTACCAAAGTGCTTTACAGTAAAATAGGCAGAGACAGTAAAAAAAACAATAAAAGCTATAAAAACAATAAAATGATAATACATATAAAAACATAAAACTACAATGCAGATAAACAACAGTCCTACAGATGGTGTCCATAACAGAAAAGGTCAAATATTTTATACCTATAGATTAGCGAATACTGTAAAACATCAAACTGATACTCTTCTATTTTCTTAAGAAAAGCTCATAATAAGCTCTTTCTTTCTGTCTTTGCTTTTCTTCCAGAGAAACAACAAACATCCCCCTCATTGCTCTGGGTCTGAAGGAGACCAAAGAAGTTGACTTCTCCTCTTTTTTCAAGGTACAGACACTACATTTACTATTTCAGCATACAGGTAAAGGGAACATAGCTTCAATAAATGTGATTTTCATGATTCATTAATGAACATTAAGTTACACTTTGACAGTGTGTATGCTAATAACACCCCTTAGATAACATTTCTATACACTTGAAATGCAGGTATATTAATCCTACTCACTGAACAGAGTTACTGCACAATGACTCCTCTGTGCTGGTAGTGCACATTTACATGTATAAACTCTGACATTGTATTGGTTATTTTTATATTGAAGGTTTTAAATACATGCTTACATTTGTACAAGACTTCATAACATTATATGTTGGACCATGCATGTGTACCTTTCACTTTTAAATATAGACTCTCTAAGCCTGTATGAGTGGCAGAAGACATCTCTTAAACTTTGTTTTTATATTAAAGATATCCCTGATGTTTTTTTCTTGTAATAGTTTTAATTTTTCTGGTTTTCCATTTTCTTTGACAACCTGCTGCTACATCACAATCATTTCTGTGCTATCAAATTCAAATGAAAAGCTTTACTGAATCTTTGTGAAGGTAAGTTAACTATAACAGAGTGAAGATATCAAGTTTGAGTGAGTGATGTCTTTAAACAGGTCAGATCTTGTTGTTCAGATGCTGACACTCCTTCTTCTCACCAGTCATCACCAGTTAAACAAACTGTCATTTACTCTTTATTTAAAGGGGAAGGTAAATGTGAGCATAAATATGGACTGGATGAACAGGAAACAGCAACGTTTATCTGGAAGCTTCCAAGCATGAACATGAAAACAGATATATTCAGATTAAGATGGATTTATACAGCGAGTTTGACCCAGATTGGCCAACTTTGTTATTTAAAAGGATTGAACTGCAGTAACAGTGAAGTGCCCTTTCACTGACTATTTGGGTCATGTTAGTTGCACACCTGCTGCTGCTGCACTACATTTGCTATTAATTCATTCAGAAAGAATTCATCACCTGGCACTAAAAGTGATTGGTATCATTTTCAAAGTGGGTCATAGTCAGGCCTGTAAGCCTTATCACGCAGCTCCTTCTTTTACATGAGAACCTCGTAAATATCTTGATGGCATATTTACAGTCGGCTGTATCCTGTTCTGGTCTGCTGGCAGGTTTTGTGAGAGAGAGGTGGATCTCTGAGCAGTTTCAATGCAGGTCTACTTATTGACTGATAGTATACTCTCAATTTAATAATCTGGCCGCTCTCACCTGCCTTCTTAGTATTTCACACTGAAAAATGACTCGTCCAGGTGACATAGTTGGAATAGAGGCCGTTTTGTATCTGAAAAGTCAATAATTTAATTTCCAGAGAGCTCAACAACTATCAGAATAAAGATTTTCATGTTGATATGTGTTTTTCTCTGTCAGGACTTCATTTTGGAGCACTACAGTCAAAATGGGAATGATTATGAGGATGAGATTGCTGACCTAATGGACCTGAGACAGGTAAGAACACTTGAGGCCCATGACAGTCGTCATTGTTAACCCCAGTGCTAATGTTGTGTAAATAGTGAATGAACTTGCTCCTGCGTTTGCACTCATGGGTGTGTTGATTTGAAAATGAGGTTTAGAGTCTGAGGTCAGTGGTACTTTAATTTCCTGCCATTTACAGGGTGTGTTCATGGATTGTACATAATGCAAGGAAAGCGGTTTGATAGGCCAGCTTAAGCTTTGTCTGTGTGAGTAGAAAATCTGAAATTTGCTCACACACCTACCTGCAGGAGCACCAGGCTCTTAATGAGAGGGACCATATAAATTAAATTAATAGATGATACACCCAAAACACACCTTTGGTTCATTAATTGACTTAATCCAACCTCTGAACATCCTGCTCTTCCTTTAACACCCAGTGCACCACCTAACTAGCTAAATGTTTTCAGGAACACCCTAGGTCACTTTGCATTCGGTGTGCTTCAATCGTTTCCAGTAGATCCAGCCCAGTCTGTTAGGCATCACTTTTTATGGCCCCTGTGAGGAACTTCTGGTTGGTGATGATTTTTGTCCACAGCGCCCCCTATAGACAAACGAGTACCTCTTATCTCCTTGCTGTTATTTTCCTCAAATTTAAAAGTTGTGTTTTCAGGCAAAAAGCGTTACTGTGCCCCATGTAGCAGTCAAATGTAACAACATCTTACAATCTACTCACTGAAGGCACTTACCAAAGTCACATTAAGTTTGAACTGAGAAAATAGAGGGTGACTCTGATCCTGTAAAAATTAGATATAAGTAGTTGAACTCTCAGAGCATATGCAGAGGTTTGCAAATGATGTGAAGCTGCTCCATGTCTCTGCTTGGAATGGAGACAATCCTAGTTTTCCACGGTCACTAACTTAGCTCTCTCTCCTGTTGTCTCTTGCAGGCTTGTAGAACACCGAGTCGAAATGAGGCCGGAGTGGAACTGCTGGCAAAATACTTCAGTCAACTTCCTCTGATGGAGAGCCGGTTCTTCTCCCCATCCCGCCAGACAGGGATCTTCTTCACCTGGTACACACAGATTTGTCACTTTAATAACTTACTAGCAACAAAGACAGTCTAAAGAGACATTAGTTTCATGGACATGGTGAATTTTTTAAATAGTGATGAAGGGTGAGATCACAGCACCTACATCCTCCTGGTCAGATGATTGTAAGTCCCTGGGCTCCTCTGTCCAATGTACAAGAACAGCAAACCTAAAATAAATTTGTATTATAGTTAAGGAATCATTCAGCCCATAAGTGGTTTAGCCACACACACAGACAACAGGGAACAGTGAAGGCTTTGAGATTAGTGAAACACCTTAGTGTTCTATGATAAAGTGCAGAGCATGTACGCTCTGAGGGGATGTGTGTAAACATCACCATAGTCCAGCACAGACAGTAAAGAGGCACCAAATGGTTTGTTTTTGGACTCCAAAGGAGGGCAGGATTTGTCTACACAATGAAAACCTGGCTTCAGTTTTAATCTGAATCCTGATGTCTCTCTGCTTTAACTAAAATCATTCATGACAGCTTCTTCTTCTGTCCCTCAGGTATGACTCATTCACAGGAGTGCCAGTGTGTCAGCAGAACCTGTCCCTTGAGAAGGCCAGCATCCTCTTCAACATGGCCGCCCTCTACTCTCAGATCGGCACCCGAGGCAACCGACAGACGATAGCCGGCCTAGAGGAGGCCATCTCATCCTTTCAGAAAGCTGCAGGTAGGTAGAGATGGGAGATGTAAAATGCTTTTACTAAAAAACGCCTCCTGAACTTGCATAGAAATTACTTTAAAGTGTCTTACAAAACATTAAAAATCCTCCTTTTTTAATCCTGCAACCTGTGGCTTGTTGCAGCGGTCAAAAATCAAGGTAATCATATATGGAAAATTGATCAATCTAGGGGTGAAGATGTTGCCGACTCAAAACAGTCCGTAAAACCCTTCAAACTATTCCATCTTTTAGAACGCTCTGCCATGACAGCAGGTGTTTTATGGAGTATGTTACTCTTTATGTAGAGCTAGTTGTGAAATTTAAGGTGAAACTCATGCCTATGTTTGAACTGTCTCAATGAGTGCAACCTGTAAAACTTCATCATAAATTAGAAATTAGGTTCAAGCTCGGCCACATTTCAATGTAAGCAGAGCTGGTGCAGCTCAATGCTGGTCTTTAAATGATCAAATTCACCTGGCTAAAACTAAAAAAAATAATGTCAGACAGTTTCTGAGTCTGCTGTGAAAGAAACTGTTCAGAAGTAGAAACTATGAAACGTATTCAAATGAAACAGTGAGACAAAGGCACTGATATCAGTAATGGCAGGGCAGCACCTCTTTCTAAAAGTGGTGTTATGTAAAACAAGTCAATTACCTCTTCAGTATTGACCAAACAGGTATGGTGTTGGCCTTACAGACATTTTTCAATCACTTAAACCAATAAAACAAAAAGGATTCACGGCTTAGAAAAAACGCACTGGTACAAAACAGCCGTGGACATGCCAGCCTCCACCCTCTGACATCTGACTTCTGCTCCATGACGGGGAATGATGCCGTGCATGCTCGTCTCTAGTTCCTTGTCATGTGGCGGCGCTCCAGAGAAGCACTCGTCAGATGAACTGATGTTCCTCCTCTCAGAGGTTTGAGGAGGCTCAGACAGGACTTGATGGAATTACGACTTGGCAGTGTGAAGAATATGGCAGTGTAATTACAGCTCTGAGAGGGCCCTGGCTTTGCTTTTGCTGCTTTTATAGTTATGATTTAGACTTGTACTAAGAAAAATAATTATGCAGTCAAGAGGAGCACTGTCATTGGTGTAAGGAGCCTGGTACTGCACCAAACTAGCTGTGCTCGGGCTGCTGCAGTGCCCTTGAGCTTGTAACAAAAACAAAGAAGGTTCAGAGGATGGGAAGAGACGCAGACAATGGCAAAGCCTTAAAGGAAGGCAAGCGATGATGGTGGTGGTGCTCTGTAATTAAACTGTCTACAGCTCTATGCTGCCAAGTCTTGTGTCTGTAGAGGGAGAGGGAGGTGCTGTCAGCTGGAATGCAGGTGTCTTGTCGTCCACCAACATGATAACTGAATTGAAGCAGGTTGGTGTTTTGGCTCAGTTTTAAAGAAGCACACAGACACTCATCTCATCGCTTGACCCAAGTTTTTCTTCTTCACTGGAGCTTGAAATGAAGGCAACGAACCCAGGAGAGGAAACAACTTTTCTTTAAACTAAGGCCCAGATACCTCTAGAGGTCGTTTGGAGACCTGCAGGGGTTGTAGGCAATCCTGTATCGAACTGTAGGGGATGAGGTTGTGCAAACATCCTAAGATATGTTTACTCTTTTATGCTCAATGAATTGTAAAACCTTTATCTGATATAATGTTGAATCTTTTAATGAGCAATATGATGACATGGTGGCAAAAATAAGTCATTATATAAAGTCATATTTAAGCTTATTGTGTGGATAAACTGAGAAAAATCTTTTTTTTTTTTTAAAACAGAAAGGCAGTTGAACTCAGTGAATGCTGTTGGTTGTAATTATTCCCCATTGGACTTTGAATTCAAGCTAAACCTCCCATTCTCCTCAAACAGGTACCCTGAACCACCTGAAAGAGACTTTCACCCACACTCCAAGCTATGACATGAGCCCAGCCATGCTTAGCATGTTGATCCGCATGATGCTGGCTCAGGCTCAGGAGTGTCTGTTTGAAAAGATGGCCCTACCTGGGATCAGAAACCAGTTCTCCTCCCTTATGAAGATGGCCCAGGAGGCAGCAAAGGTAAGCAGCAGCACAGAACACACATGCAGGTGGTACAGGCACAGTTTCCTCCTTAGTCAGCCTTTTTTTTTTTTTTTTTTTTTCCAATTTTCTCCGTAGCATTAAATGCACTGCCAGTAACCATCCTCTTCTTCCTGCAGGTCTCCGAAATCTATGATCAGGTCCACCAGTCCATGATCCAAACACCAATCAAAGACAATGTACCGTTTTTCTGGTCCACCATGTCACAAGTGAAAACCAACCACTATCGCTCCATGGCACACTACTTTGTGGCCTCAGCACTCCTGGACCACCAGTGTAAGAAAATATTTTTATTCTTATTTCTCTGAATGAAAAACCTTAGACAGAACTCAAACTCCTCACCACAAAAACTAAAACATTTCACTTGTTCAGTGAATATCTAAAAAAGGTGGTAGTCATCATCGCTCTCTGAACATTTGTATTTGTTTTTAACAGCATGTAGACGCTACATCTAGACAAAGACGCTAAAAACTCATTTAAAATAAAATGGTTCAGATATATACAAAGACACCAACCTTTAAATACTACAAAAACAATCAGACAAATATAAACATGTTAGAACCGTATGTTTGAAATAATCAGAAAGAATTATTGACTGTTCACTTGTTATTCTGGATACAAGCTTTCTCTCATTAATTGACCTCACTTGTGTTGAGTCACTCTAGTCTTCTGACTACACAAGGTGCTTTGTTCTACATGTCAGTATTAACCCTCCACATGCACACAGTCAAACCTCATGTGCCATGCAAACGCATGCAAAATATTTGTCTGCTTCAGTGAAGCTTTACTGTTAAAGCTGGACTCCTTGGTTTGCAGTGTGTAGTAAATTTACATGAAACATGCACCGTCAGCAACATGCACACCTGAGTTCTTGAGACCATAGAAAAAGAGGTATTGTTCACAGACATAGGGTTACACTATGTGGCTCAAAAACTGCCTTTTTGCTTTTTTTGCTCTGCTCAAGATGTTGGATTATTTGAGACAAATTTACCAAACCTGTCCAGTAAATGTTTAGTAAACAGGGACATTTTTGCTGCTTCCCATTTCCAACAGTCCTCACTCACCCTCCAGCTGCACACCTGCTCTTCCAGCTTTACTGGACTGTAGGCCATAGAGCACTTTGAAAGCAGTAACACACACACACACACACACATACACACACACACACACACACACACACACACACACACACACACACACACACACACACACACACACACAGACACACAGACATGCACTGGTTCTGCGATAAAGACAGGGTCAATTTTACTGCTAAAAACATAGAGAGTAAACCTAAAGACAGGGGTAGTGAAAATGAGAATCTTGCTTTATTGCCTCAATTGCTTCAGTTCTTTTGTCATCATGTTTGCTTGAAAGAAATTTTCCGGTACGATCAAAATGTTGTTCTGGTCCCATATTTCAAACCAAGAGCCAAATGAAACAAAACACTGTGGATTGAAGCTTCACAGTACTGTACTTTATTCTGTGTTATGAAAGAAGACCATCCTGAAACCCAAAGATGCGGCTCAGAGTTTGGCAGCTCATTAACAGATTCCTGAGTGAATGAGGAGAATAAAGCAATTAACCACAGAGCTTTAGAGAGAGGACTCAGCCCAGAGACAGCAGTGAATGAAGAGAGCTGTTGTAAACAGCTTCACCACAAACATCAAAAATAAACCGCCTGCACTGTCTCCATGAAGCAGACTGGTCAGAGAAGCCTAGAAAGTTCTGATGCTCTATTTGTACCTTAAAAAACCTCAGGCAGAGCATTAAGAAGACTGTTGAAAACATTTCAATGACTCTTACTTTTGTGAGCTTGTTGCCATCATTTTGCCAACAATAAATAAACGGTGTATGAATGAGTGCAAGTTCTCTATTTTCTCCTAAAAATAGCAGCATCACCTGAAACCATTTAGGACTTCTAGAAATTTCTGGCACTAAATCTTGGTGGGAGTACGGTGGCCCTGAGGGTCAACTGTGGGAAATGTTTTACCCATATGCAAAAACATTTTACCAAAATGGAAAATATTTGACAGAAAAAAACAAACAAACAAACAAACAAACAAACAAACAAACAAACAAACAAACAAACACACACAAAATACACAAAATACTGCATGAAACATCTTTTGGATCTGACTTTATCTTTTAGATTGGGAAAGACAGGCGTCTTATAGATGATCTCAGCCCTTGTCTGAAATGATTTTGACTGAAAGGGGACATTTTATTGTGCCATTGAATAATTTTTTGCAGATTCATTTTTATTTTGCAAACCTTTTTTTGCATCATGACATTTTTACCTCAATAAAAATATTTTGTGTTCTCCAAATTGCAAAGTTATGCAAAATATCTTTACATTTTTAAAAAAATGTTTGTGTTCATTGAATATTTTTGCCTCATGAAATGTTTGCACAGTAGACCTTAGTATTGTGGACATGCGTATCTTGTAATCAAACCCTTATAGAGGCAATTGGGTTCCTCCTATCAGAAACAATGTGGAAAAACTAATGACCATAATCAGTACATATGAAGATTGTAGTATCAGAATTTCAGACTACAAGAAAAAAAGCAAATTTCTGTAGAAAATTCATACGTAACTAAAGTTTCATTTCAAATCGAAACACATCTAATATTTGTCTATTTATTGTGTGTGTGTTTAGTGGGTCCCAGTGACGATGAGGACCAGCAGGAGAAGACTCTGTCACAGGTCTATGATCGGCTTCCTGAGGGACGCTCTCCTCTGGACATCCTGAGAAAGGAAGAGGAGCGTGAACGTATCGGTAAGAGTGAGCGTACGGAGAATGAGAGCAGCAGTTGATGGTTAAACACATCAGACTCCTCTCTAAATGGACATATCTGTGACTCTCCTTTTCTTTTTCTCTCCTGTTTCCTGTATCTGATGTCCTCCTTGGTTCTTTTCCACCTCTACTTCAGGTAAAGCCCACATCCGTCGTGCCATCCTGGGTCACGAGGAGGCTTTGAGGATCTACGGATTGTGCCACCACCTGAACAAGCTGGACGTCCTGCAGGACATCTTACGAGCCAGTCACCAGCGCTCGCTCAACAAGTGCAGTGAAAATGAAGACGAGGAGGAGTTTGCTGACTACACAGAGGCCCCGGACATCATCTGTGAGTTTTAATGTGTGAAGGGGAAAACAGCTCCAACAGATACAAACTGTCCTGCTCCAGTTAACAGGAGACAAGAGGATAGGAAGTAAAAAAGTAGAGTTTATTTGCCTTACCTTGGTGGCTATTCTTCCAGTGGTTGACATGGAAACGAACCAGTCACTGTAGTGTCACCACAACAAACACTTGACTAAGGACACTGTTGTGGAGCAGGGCCAATGTGCTCTTCTGAGAGGTTTGTCTCTCTGGATTCAGTTCATTAAAAAGCCACTGAGCTGTGTGCCACACCTGCTGAAGTCACATGTGACAAGTGACATTTATTCTGGGGATAAATGGTGTCGTGTTTACTCTGTTGACTTCTCACCTGCCCGCCTCTCTCTCTCTTCAGGACAAGAGCTGATATTTGACAGTAAATAGTGAAAAGTGATGTCTTTGTTTCCTCTCTTCCTCTCTCCTCAGCTAAAACAGAGCACAAATCAGAGATGGAGGTTCCTGCTACCATTAAGGTGAAAGTCACAGACTTCTTCCACCGGCTGGTACGTGGGTTACTAATATTTTTCCACTAACATTGCTATTTTTATGAACATTATGATTGGTCTATTCATGAAGTGACATGAAAACCACTCTGGATTTGCATTTCAGACTTGTTCTTTCTAAAACCGTAGTGTTTTTTATTACTTCTGAATACAACCAACCAAGGATGAGTCTCCTGGAAGCTTTGGCAGCTGATCCAAACTTTTAGATGTTTCCAAGGCCTCCTGGACTCTCATCCAAAACAACAAACACTGAAGCTAACACTAACCGTGGACAGAGGTGCTCTGGTCCTGGGTTGGTTATACTGGTGGTGGCTGGAAGGGGGGCAGTGGACTCCTGTTATTCATTTCTGTACCTTTATCCTGCATCTATTTACAAGAAGAGTGAATTATTTCCCTGAAGCACAACATGTATAAGATATGTTTGAAATACTAATGAAACACATAGAATTTAGAAGACGAACATAAACCAAAGCTTTCACATATATTCCTCAGATGCATCAACTCTATCGTTTAGCAAATTATGTAGAATTATGGATCATATCAGGCAAAAAACAACTTTTCTATTGATTAATCAATCTATTAAACTTTCTCATCCATGCAATTTGGCACCAGAATTTCTAGTTTGATATGTGAATAATGTATTTTTAATCTCTTTATAAGACTCTAAGTGTAATTTTTAATACAGCCTTGGTTATTGACTGCTGCTTTAATTCTTTAAAGCTCTACTACCTTCATGTACACAAGCACAGATGGCATTTGATCAAGAAAATGGAAGTCAGGCTGTTTATGATTTAAATGGCACCAAACCAATCATCCACATGTTTGGACCAATTATTCTTTACTCTAGAACTAACCATCAGGGAGGCCTGAAGGCTAGGCACACTCAGGTAACCAATGTGACATTGTTCACCTGCAGACCCTTTTATCCCATGTTTAGTTGGGCTCAAGGATTCAAGTTGTAAAATGATATCTAGGTCTTCAATAACAGTCTCAGCGAGTGAAGTACTTCCTGTACATTCATCAACACCTAAACTGTCAGGGATCTGTTAGAGGGTTTTGCCCATTTGATATTCTGTATTGTATATTTATGTGTAAGTTTCATGTTAAATGAAAAAAATGAAGCAATGATTCAGTCCTGTGTTCAGCTGTATCTATGCTGTGCGGCTGTGACTTTACAGCTCTTTAAACACTGTTCATCAGCATGACTCTTTAACAGACCCAAGTGTCATGTTCAGTGTGGATTTAAATGTTTTTACATGGACCATTTTTGTGAGAAATAAAAAAAGGGTTATGTGTCATTTATCAAGAGGTGGTACAGGCTTTAAAATCAGACAAAAACATCAAACATAAACATGGCAACTCGGAGTAAGGGATTTTTGTGCTTTAGTTTTTAACCACCCAGCACTATGAACCTTTTAAGTACCAGAAAAAATCCCCTACTTGACCAATATAACCCTGCAGCCATGTTTAACCCCGGCATCCTCACACTGTGTCCTCTCAGGGCCCACTGTCAGTCTTCTCAGCCAAGCAGAGGTGGACAGCCCCCCAGACAATACGACTCCGTCCAGAGGACAGAGACCTGGGCTTCACTCTGAAAGGAGAATCACCTGTCCAGGTGGTTTCACTGGACCCTCTGTGCCCAGCTGCTGTGAGTACCCTCATATTACTCTAAATACTCTTTAGGTGGAACAGGAATAAACCAGAGGAAGTTTCAAATGATCTTGACAGAGGCAACCAGTGACAGCAGACCTCTAGACTGTACCCATGTTTAGTCCAGAGATGAAAGTTTTCTTTCATTTTTGTTGAGTTGTGCTTCAGCAGAAATGCAGTTTCACTCTAAAAAGGATGAAGTTTCCATGTTTGGGAGCTTATTAAAATTAAAAAACTGATTTTAATTTTTTCCAGCATCAGTTCTTTCTCCACCAGACCTCAAAGTAAGCCCAGAACAAAATGCTCTTAGAAGTAGATCACTGCAAAGGATCATTTTGTAAAATTAGCTCATGTAGGACAATCAGTGGACTGAAGTCTGAGACATGCTTGCTTTCTGATCCTGAATTTCAGGGTGCAAATGAAAGTAATGCTCAGAAAGTCTTAGCAGGACTCAGACTGAAAGAATGTCTGCAGCCTCTCCATCCCCCACCATGGCCACTCTGACTACTAATTTAATTAAGAATCAGAGAGCATTTAGTCCCTGAATCCTTTTAAGTCTGACGGCTCATTAAGTGGTGCTGACAAAGAGCAGACTCTTATTCCACCCTGCAGGCTGCACAGAGAAAGAGATTAGCAGAATTACAGGAGTCAAACTAGGCCAAACTCTTTATAACTTTTAATTGTGCATTCAGCAGGACTTATTTTGGATCTGACTGATTCGCCTTTGTTGTTGACCTCTGGTCAACTTATCAGACAGAAATAGCTGAGCTCATGTAGATCAGACTGACTTCCCACAGCTACGAAAGATCCAGCTTTGGCACACACAGACAGATTTACACACACATGCACACACAGACACACATCTATCCATGTGCGTGCTGTAGGAAGGATTTGTTTGTGCTCAGCCTCTGTGTTTTCTCTGCTGATCCTGCCTGCCTCCAGGATGTGGAGAGAAAGTAGGTGAACCTGATTCAGCTGCCAGTCAAACAAACCCTGAACTGTAAATATTTGCCCAGTTAGCTGCAGTATGAGGACATTGCAGCAGTCTCCTCTTGAACCCGTGTTCATCCGCGTGTCTTTTTTCCTAGGCTGACGGTCTGAAAGAGGGTGACTACATCACTGCTGTGGGCTACACAGACTGTAAATGGATGGGTGTGGGCGAGGTGATGCGGCTGCTTAAGGACGTGAATGAGGAAGGGATTGACATCCAGGTTGTCAGCCTGATGGAAAGCAACCCCCAAATGGTACACCGTGCTCTTTTGACATTGCATCTAGAGAAGCCGTTCATCTGGTTTCTTGACTGACAGATAGTGACAGCAAAAGTAGATTTTGTATCAAATGACTTGTCAGCAACGCAGGTAGAGTTTCAGATTTGATTCCTCAGGAGAAGTGTCCTCTGCCAGGCAATCAGAGAGTTTCAGTTTGTGCAATGACATGCAGGTTTTTGGATATAATTCTGAAATTTCTAAAAAGTTGTATATTCTGTACTGTTTGAATTATTTGCCAACAGAGTCTTGAATATTTCTTAAATTGTGTGTGTTTTTTTTTTTTTTAAAGAGAAATCTTTCATGGATTCACAAGGCTCATCCTAAACTGCAGAGTTGTTCTCTACTGTGTTCTTAAATTTGTGCACACTATGCCCTTGGAAGTTTTGGGCTGGTTTCAGCCCAGGACCCCCAGAATTATGAACCCAGAAACTTACAACCCTCACTGTCCCATGACTTTGATAAATGTTTCTTACTGCAGGCAAAGCAGAAAACTAATGACACTTGTTTTAGCATGGTTTTGTGGGTAATGAAGCTACATTGTATTTGTTTGTTAGTTACACCAATCAGAAAAAAAAGAAATAAAATTATTAATGCTTTGAAAGGCATTATATACTACAGTATATTAGTCTAATATATAATGTTTCATTAGTTTGAAAAAGGTGATGGTGATCTGGCTCTGACCTTTTAAGATTCAGATTTAGAAAGTCAAACATCAGACAGAAAATTATTGTTTGTGTGGCTCGACAAAACATATTATATATGAGCTCATGAGAACTGACACATTTTTTTTAACCTTTTTAGTTCAAGAATTTAATTTTGCATTTAGCAGATTAGTCCAAACATTGCACCGCTTTGTTTAGACATGCCAGCTCTTAAATGTGTGACAGAATATTTTTCGTGTCATAAACTTTGCGCTAAGCTGAGAGGTCAGCTCAGATGGGATAGCTTTTGGGGAATCAGTACCCTCTAGGAAACTGTAATTATTGTCCCCACATCGTAGTCCAGCCTGATAGAATGACTTATCTTTGTGCCAACTTAGTGATCATAGTTATTGTGTCCTGAGCAGCCTAATCTTCTAACACCAACCACTTCCTGTCATTAAATCTACCTCGCTATCTCTCTCCAGCCTACCAAGAGCGCCACCTTCTGTGGAAACCTGCCTAAAACCTACTCTATGATCTGTCTGGCCCACGATGACGATGAAAAGAAGTCCCGCAAAGTGACCAAGAAGTCGTCCTTCATCAGCTGGGGTCTGAAGAACAAGCTAAAGAGTGCCAGCACTCTCAGCCTCCCCACGGCTGATCACTCTGGAGCTCTTCCCTGGAACAAACCCACCCCCACCTTCCCCAGCTCCAGCTCCTACAACAACGACAGTGCCCTCTACTGAGCTGGCTTCAGACTTTGGGGTATCTGCAGGCACTGTGTAGTAAACATATGAAGCCTTGGATGGCTGTGGACTGTGCTGTGTTTTACCCATACTGGACCTGTTCGGGCTATGGTACAGGACCACTTTCTTTTGGTGTGTCCACAGAAAAACACTGAGCAGGAGTGTGTGTAGCTTTTACTTCACTCGTGTAATGAGAACACCAATTAGCTACAGTGATTTAGAGAGTGGCAGTGTCGAATACTGTTTGGGTTCAGGGGTCTTTGTATGCACATTGGCGCCTGAGAACCACAGTTCAGTAAACTGCATTTTACACCAGCAAAAAGGAAAATAACTCAGTGCTATGCCAGCATGCCTACAGGTACAGACTATAGTGGGAAAGAAGTGGACATGACCACTGATGCACCTATTTTTAAAGATGCAAAATTTAGAGGAAACCATATTATGTTGAGTTAACGGCTAAATACCCCTATTTCTACACACTGTATCTCTAAAAGTAGTACTTTAGAGCCTAAACTTCTTTTAAAATACTTTACCAGAGTAATAAAACAACTTGTTCAAATAGTTATACGCCAACCTGAATTCTTGTTATTCAGACACGTTAAGCAACCAGAGGAGTGACCTTTAAAATGCAGGTTTAAGATACTGCAGCATTACCTCCACAGCTCAAAAGTAAGAGTCATGTCCACGTCTTTACATGCAGTTTATGAATACAGCACAGCCCAGGCACACTGGTGAAAAAAAAACACAATGGCTATCATTCCAGCTTTTATAAATATAAATACACTGCACAAGGAAAATACAAAGTATCATCTAAATATGTTTTCTTAGAGAAACGCTCCAGACGATTTGAAAGACAAAACAAAGTTGTACAAACACACCTAGAGTCGACTATTACTCAACTGCAAGGGGGTAATTTTCTCTGGCTTAGATAGTTACTTGTTATCTTGGTTGTGTACTGAAGCTGTGCACTATGCAGTCATCTTCTCTGATTTATACTGTTGAAGTAAAGCATTCAGTCAGGATCCGTGGATACTGATCAGTTCTGGGGTGTTGTACTTTTATTTTCTAGGTTGTTGAAGCAGCATGTTACATAATGATTGAGGGATAACCGTTTGAGCTGTAAAGTTTTGTTGTCTGGGAAAAGATGATGAATGCAATGTTGAATAAGCTGCTAAAAATCATACAAATACCTGACTTATGTATTAATGTCACTTATTGTTTGTGAAACAGCCTCTGAGAATTATGATTCTGCTGAGGGTCTCAACTGGAGCAAAGTGTAGATGTAAAAACTTGTTTTTGGCTCACTTACTGTACCAGCTATGCCTCAGACCACTGCACCTCCATGTCCCTGATTCTCCTGGATGTAGCATCTACCAGCCTGACTCATGTTACCCTGTTCTGGCCCTTCTTCACACCCTGGTTGTTTGATCATTTGTAAGAAGAGAACGCGCTGTCTCTCTGTTAATGTGAATCTTGATGTAGTTAAAGGTTGTTTTGTCTCCAGAAGGGAAGAATGTGGACAGACCAGTGACGGCCAGTCACCCAACGGTGACTTTGATCAAAGTCCACAGTCAGGTTTTGATTACTTGTCTGAATCATAGTCACATCCCACTTTTTTTCTGACACTGTGCAGTGTTGGACTATCTCTTTATCTACAAAGTAGATTCCTATACACATTTGATAATCAAATTATTTATATAATAAAAAAAGAAATACACAAAAAATATAAATATTTACTTGTAAAGTTGTAGGAAATATTTGTGAATGGTCAAGTTATGAATATTTGCACGATGGATTTCTCGGTTGGTTTCTTGAAGGAATGTACTTTACTAGCCTTGCTCAATCCTTTGGTGAACCTATATTCTGGTACATTTTGTCTTTGTGGTTATTTTTTTTTAAGATGTAAATGTTTTCAAAAAGTAACACTGAGAGGATGTAACTCTGTACTGTCTCTGTTTATCTTACAAAGTGTCTTAAGTGCTTTGTGTGCTAAATCATGAAGGAAAATATCACAAAAAATGCGAGTAATTATTAACATGAATAAGTACTACAAGTAAGCTAACAGTGACGTGTGAGCGCCTACACAGATTATAATGTAACAGATCTTTCCATGCATAACACCATGCATGTAAATCTAAACATTATGGTGTATATGCATAGGGTTGTGGTGCCTGTTTTTCTGAGGGGTTCATGTTTGCTTATTTTTTGTGTTCTTTGTGCTGCATAGCAACTGTGGTGTAATTGCAATTTATGTCTCATGTATTAATGCAAATCTTAATAAAAGAGGGGTCAGAACACCTTTCCTGTTTTTTATTGGAGGGTAAAGTTGTGCTCCTGTGTATCCCAAAAGTTTTCTTAGTGTTTGTTTATGTTTTTAAGTCACTCAGTGTGTATGGATAGTTTAGGAAAGTTTATTCTTACTGATTGTAGTTTGAAGTTCAGAAAAAGACACCAGGTTTCAAGCTCTCTTCAGTTTAGCAGGATATAATTATTTATGAAGACAAATCTGTACTTTAAAGACAAGGCTCCACACCTCTACTATTTCTTAGAGTAATGGCCAATAAACAACAGGTTGGGGTTAGCAAAAAGTGTTTAAACAGGCTTATTTTTTTTGGAAGACCCAAGCTTACTTGAGGATTTTTCAAAAAGTTTCAAAAGGATGGAGGTCAAATATAGATCTCATATAAAGGCCTTTTAAGACTAAGTTTTCTTGATAAGTTCCTTAAAACTAGAGTAGTTATCTTGGTTCATGAAACCTATTTCAATTAAATTTATTGATGGCAATATTAGCAACATTTTTACTCAAAATTGCTGCTAAAAACCCTCTGCAAAACCAGCCATGAACTGAGTGTGCAGAAACCATGCTGCAAAAATAGTCAACAACTTTGTAGGTGTGGTGTTAAAATCACCTCATACATCAACACTGTTTAGTTCTCCAATAAGTGCTTAAATAGAGCTTATATTTCAATTACAGTACCGACTTTTCCTGGACTGTAATGACAGACTGGTGTTTGCCTTGCCTAAGTTTCAACTTAGGCAAACTTTTACTTAAATGCCAGTACTCTTTCCACTCCTGAAGCTATTATGTTGAAATTAAACAAAATAAATAAATAAATAAATAAATAAATAAATAAATAAATAAAGACAGAAAGAAAGAAAGAAAGTCTCTGGACGTCTCACAGCAGATTTGCATACTGAGACAGAGAAGGGGATTATTCTCAAATAGAGTGACGTCGCCCCCTGATGGTCACAGAACGGTAACGACATCGTTGCTAGGGAACTGTGGAATCCGCTGATTGGGTTTTAACCGCCTTTTGGTCCAATCAGCGCTGGTTTTGTAGCGAGGTGCCCTCTTCGGGTAAAGCGTCTCTGTGCAATCAGTTTGCTAACAGCTAGCCTGTTGGATTCACTGTAGTTCGTCTTTCATTTAGTGTTACAGTGTAACACAGAAAGAGGGGAGATTTTTATATCCATAAACCGATTCACTATTGGAATGTGGTCAGTTAGGATAAATGTTTGGTGAATAAACAGATACAATAACTTCTGACAGTGAAGCAGAAAAAAAGCTTCTCATTATGTTAAAATTCAACTTCAGGAGGGAGAAAGACCAGGACTTTGTAAGTTTGACTTTTTCCATAAATTAAATGAACATTTAAACGTCTTTTTTTTCTGTCAGATGTCTAATATTAACCTTAATGCCGTCAAATCCAGGCTAGTTTGCTACCTTTATTCAGTTCAACTAAACACAGCTAACCTGACATTCAGCACTTTAACGGCCGTTTTTCAACTGTAGTTCGTCGTAATTCTAATAACTTTCTGTTTGATCCTTAAAACCACTGATCTGACATCCTGTCTGTAAAATGGCCGTGTTTTTCTTCTTGACTAACTTTTCCCACCAGTTCTGTTTTCCTCCTGTTAAGAATTAAAGATTTATTTCATGGTGAACATGTTTGTGCACCTGTACGTTTTTAGCTAAATTTAAAAACAGTCCTTCAATCCAGTAATGTTCTTTTCCACTCTTTACAATGCACAACAACTGTAGTACGGTACACAGCCAGCCACATCCTGATCTTCACCTGTACCAGCCGCCCAGCAAAATGAACAATTCTCAGTGAACATTTACACCGTGGCTTGTTGCAGGAGGACTGTTTACAAAGTGCAACACAGCAAAAACATGCAACAAAAATATCCTGTTACTTCATCCTGGAGCTTATGTGTTGTGTCAAGTCCTATCCCATCAACAAGCTTAAAATGATAGACCATGATTTTAAAGTTATATTTTCCTTTAAATACTCTGCAAAATGAGGTTCTCAGTACTTAAAGTAAATTTAGAAAAAAAAGAAAAAAAAACCCTTTTTACTTTTACATCAGTGGATAGTATTATAACTCTTTCAACCCTGGAGTTGATGTCTATGTGACGTGAACATTCTCTTTAAAGTCTATTTGTGTATGTTATGTAGAGACATATAGCTCCTGGTTTGATCCCTGCTGCCTCCCTTGCTCCAAAGCCTGCTGTTCCTCGTACCCCACCTCCACGCAGCCCAAACCCCTCACCTGAGAGACCCAGGTACCTGTCGCTTACATCACTTCCTGCTTACCTTTATTATTCAATGTTAAAATGTTGTAATTTCATTTAGAGACACTTTTATATTGACGGTAGAGATGCACAATATGGATTTTTTGTTGATATCCAGCAGTATTTTGCCAATATTTTCATTTTGGCCACAATCAATACATAGCCAACCCTTTTTCATTTAAAATGCTCTAAATATTTTTTTATAGGACAATTTACTTGTTGCTCTTATTGTTACAGTGTTGTTGTTTGACACAAAACAACCAGTGACCATAAAGGATCAATTTATTCTTTTTGTAAATATCGACGCTCAGTTACAGTAACTTTCAGACAGTCAACATGTCAGGACTTGTTGCTTGTTTTTTGGTTGGTAGTTATATCAGCACAAATCTTCATACCTATGATATATAATAATTAACTTTTTAAG